CCTTAAACTTGTGTCCTGGCGTGGAAAATGAGAAACCACTGGAAACACATTATATCCTGTCCGCACCGCCTCTTGATAAGTCTATTTTGAGAGCTACATCCATTATCACAAATTGTTTTTTTATAGACAGTAAATTAACGCAACTAGAGAAGTTAGACCAGATGTAGATAAGATAATTCTGACAGGAACAGCAGCAGGACGACAGTAAAAATCGGCCTGCGATAGACCCCAATGGTTATAAGTCACTTTGACTATTTTTGGAGGGTTATCCTAGGTAATTTACATATATGTACTCTGTATGAAAATTTATGTAAGTGTATTTATGTGTATCTGTACCTAAATAAACTTGCAGCAACGTTGCATGGGGCGAACCATTAGGGTCATTCTAAAACAGAATTTTTACCCGCTGAGCTTTGTTTGAAGGCCTTCCGCTGGCTTACACCTCCACCCCTTTAAAAATTATAGCTATAATTATTAAACGAACCATTAATCGCCATAACTGGCAACTTGATAGAAACTCATAAGTAAGTATGCTTACACTGACATTAAGACGTGAAATTCATAGTAAATGGGAGAGATTACGATTTTTGAGACTTTTTTCAAGTTTATTTCATTGTTTCGTTAACCATCACCGTCGTCAGGAAACATGTCTTAAAAAAAATAGTATCTCCCATCTGCTATAAAATGAGAATATTGTTTTAATGGACCCCAATGGAAATAAGTCACTCTGCTGATTTTTTTGGGTTATCCAGGTTCTCTACACATATGCTGCTATGTATGATAATTCTATGTAACTGTATTTGTGTATACCTGAATAAACTTACTTATTACTTACTTACTTATGTATTGATTACGGCTAAACAACTTGATAAGGTCACTTATCTTTATCTTTATTTTTACTGGCAAGTTGTGTGGAGGACAAGACTTATTATGATTATTAACCTGGTGGGTTAGTAAGCCAGGATAACTTAAGATAACCAAGTAATGTGGCTTTCTGGGTTATTAACCCTCAGAGGTTAATACGAATCTTCCTACTCTTTATTCTTCCTCCTCCTCCTCCTCCTCTTCTTCTTCTTCTTCTTCTTCTTCTTCTTCTTCTTCTTCTTCTTCTTCTTCTTCTTCTTCTTCTTCTTCTTCTTCTTCTTCTTCTTCTTCTTCTTCTTCTTCCTCCTCCTCCTCCTCTTCTTCAGCAACAACTACTCCATTACTATTTTTAACCAAGTATTCCTCTCATCAGACATTTCAATGTTATCTCTTGACTGTTATCTGTTTATTTAACTTATAATAACTAGATGACCTTCCCGAGGTCTCCAGCCGAGTGATCTTACATTCTCACCTGTTTTGCGTGCTGGCTGTTTCAAGGACTGTTGTTAGGGCCTCGCTGGGCCACTCCGGGGACCACTAAATGCCAAAGCCACCTCAGGGCCACTAGCTGCAAGGGCCACAACGGGCCACGCTCCTCCAAGGACCATTGCCTACCAAGGTATCTGGCTGGACATTAACGAACCATACCACGGGCAGGGTTAGAACTCACGACCAGAGAGTCTCAAAACTCCAGACCGTCGCATTACCCACTGGACCACGTTAGCCACAGGCAGGGTTCTAACCCCACCCGTGGAATGGTTTGTTTGCAACCCTGTCATTATGATTTTGTGAGTCATGTGGGCATTACGTTTATTTTATACAAATAGATAGTTTTCCTTGTAAGCTTTACAAGGAAATAATCATTTTCATTTTCATCTAACCGCTACATCTGAGCCCAGAGACTGTCATGATTACACTCCAACAGCCAGCCAAATCTCGAAATCCAATTTGTCTCCACTCACTCCGATCTGACATAATCACACATATCTGCTAGATGCTCAAACCTATACCTCTCAAAACCTTTACACCCTCCTTCAATCTCCTTCAAAAGGACACTGCCTTGATGCCAGAGAAGGGCTCTTGATCCTTGGATTTGAAGCTACCCTCCTTTACCCTATAATTATAACCATAATTTTTAAAGGGGTGGAGAGGTAAGCCAGTGGAAGGCCTCGGTCAGATGACCAAAAACTCCAGTGGTGGGCCATCATATGACTAAGACCCACGTCAGGAAACACTTGTCCAGTTTCTTGACGAACCTAACCTAACCTAACCTAGCCTTCCATTACCTTGGATTAAAATTACTTTTCATTTCTCAGGTGCTGAATAACATTCAAATTCAAATTCAAATTCAAAGTTTATTCTCTATAAAGATTACAATGTTGAATTTACAGAATTTGGTTGTTGTGTGGTTTACATATAGTTAAATAATGATTACAGAGTGTACCACTAGAACGCTTCATGGCAGGTATTGTAGGAAAGACCATATGCAACAGTTAGGATTTTTTTTAGAAAATTTTCGCCTAACTAGGTTTCATCAAGTACAGAAAAGTTGATAGAAGCAGAAGATTTACTTGAGAGCATTGTTCCATACTTGGAACAATGCTCTTCTACTGGGATGAACTACTATTCAAAACTTTAGGGTGATGGACGATTACATCGTCTTCAAGTATCTTTCTTCTCTTTTGTTACGTTGAATGAAGAAGTTGGTGTAGGTGGTTTTAATATAGTTATAACTGATGCATAGTGTCTACCAACTTGGTAATCCTTAAGCATGGCTAGGTATTACAGAGTGTACCACTAGAACGTCTTAGCATGGCTAGGTATTACAGAGTGTACCACTAGAACGCTTAGCATGGCTAGGTATTACAGAGTGTACCACTAGAACGCTTAGCATGGCTAGGTATTACAGAGTGTACCACTAGAACGCCTAGCATGGCTAGGCATTTCGGGCAGACTTAGTTTAATTCTTTATTTTAAAATATTACAAATTATGAGGTAAGTTGGTATTATGGCTAAGTGACTAAATACTAGTTTGTGAGTTTAGCAATGTGAATGCTTTTGTTTTGGCACAGTACATAGTTTCAGTATTGGAGTATCATAGGATTCATTATTTTAAGATTGATATTAATATTTCTGTTTATGGTCAAATGGGTGAGTGAGTGTAAGTGTGAACCACCAGGTGGTATTCGTGTAGTTAGTTGATGGGGTTTATCAGGGAGATAAGATGTTTTCTAATGGTAGTTTTGAAGGTGATGAATGTGTCTGCAGTTCTAGAGTTCTCAGGTAGGGTGTTCCAGATTTTAGGGCCTTTGACATACATTGAATTTTTGTAAAGGTTTAGTCGGACACGGGGAATGTCGTAGAGATGTTTGTGTCTGGTGTTATGCCTGTGGGTTCTGTCACAACTATCAAGAAAGCGTTTTAGGTCAAGGTTGATATTGGAGTTTAAGGTCCTGTAGATGTAGATTGCACAGTATTAAGTGTGGATGTACTGAACAGGGAGTAAGTTTAGATCTATGAAGAGTGGGGGGGGGTGTTGCCAGGGATGGGATTTAGTGATTATTCTTACTGCAGCTTTTTGTTGGGTTATTATTGGCTTTAGGTGTGTTGCTGCAGTTGATCCCCAAGCACAAATAGCATAGGTGAGGTATGGATAAATAAGTGAGTGGTATAGTGTGAGAAGGGCATTTTGCGGCACGTAGTATCGTATCTTGGAGAGGATCCCAACTGTAGTAGTAGTAGTAGTAGTAGTAGTAGTAGTAGTAGTAGTAGTAGCAGTAGTAGTAGTAGTAGTAGTAGTAGTAGTAGTAGTAGTAGTAGTAATAATAATAATAATAATAATAATAATAATAATAATAATAATAATAATCGAGTGATACCCAGGAACTTGGGTGGAGTGGTGCAGACTCGATCCTTCGTCCGAGAATCTCGATATATACACTTTAATTGCACTTAAATTGTATTGCTAGGTGAAGAGAGGCAGTAGGTAAGGTAACTTACCCACCATAGACTACTGTGTCCTGCTCCAGACACTGACCACTGAGCTACGGGTCCTCTAAATAAAAAGCTTGTAGGCCTACTGGTAATTACAAAATATAGATTTCTAGCTTCTGCTCCAAAGATTGGCCACTGAGCTACGGATCCCCTCAATACAAAGCTTATAGGCCTAATGGCAATTAAAAAATATAGATTTCTAACTTTGCGCCAAACATTGACCACTGAGCTACGGGTCCCCTCCATCAAATGCATGTAGGCCTGCTGGTAATTACAGACTATAATGCCTTTATATAAAAACCCTCCTCGCATTGTCCCATGAAAGAGAATGGTCTCGGTGAAATGTGTATATTGAAAAAAACCCTCCCACTTCCCTGACGTCAGGTGGTACGATCATGGCACCATTAACTACCCAGCCGCAGGTAACACGTGCCCTTATTATCTCTGAATTTCACTCGTTCCTCTTTGTTTTTGGGAAATGTTTTGACCGGGTTTTATTCGTATTACCTCTCGTTTATTTGAGTATGTTATCAATTGATTACGGTGGTTATTTTGGCAATACAGAGCAAAAATAAAAATCACGATGACAATTTGTGGCAATTTCTCCCGGATGATGCCAACTTGTACTAAGACTTTATATATTCTATTAAACCTAAATAACTTAAATGACTATAGTGAAATCATATTAGGATAATATTTAGTTATTTATATATATCATTTTATGAGAGATTTAATGCGTATTTATATAATTTACAAAGAACTATCTGTCAATAATTTCCATGACTAGAACCGTCTTACAAAAAGTGAATTTTATTTTTATATATAAGTGGGAATTGTTTAATAGTTGGGATGTGTATAGAAGTTTTATTAATTGGTAAAACATGTGCACGGGATTGATTGTGGGGTGCACAAAGAGGGGAGATAATTGAGTTTTATATCGGTAAAGTTGAGATTACGGAAGGTGGATATAAGATGGAGGAGAGGTGGAGGGAGGCAGGTTAGGGTGACAGCTGCTGCTGCTTCTCCCATCACTTAGTGAGGGAAATCAGTGAGAATCTTGACTGGGATGAGGTGAGATTCATCTCAGGTATGTGTGAGGTTCATCTCAGCTGAACCAGGAGGCTGGAGGCACCTGCTGACCCACATTCTACCCCTTAACCTGAAATACCTCCCCATAATTTCTCAATATTATTCTCTTGTCATGGAAGAAAAAAGACAAGAGTGAGAATTATCCGTGCTAAAGTGACTTTGTAATGTCCACTTGAGTGGCTGGTCAGGGATGATACAAACTTTACGAAGATACTTCAGGGCGGCCATCAGAAATGTTTTCTCGGTGATATTCTATGTTATTGGTGAAGTGTTTTTGGGACACCCATTAATGGTGCATGGACACCCCCTCAGGGGACACCAGGACACACAGGAAACCCTGCCAGGTAGCAGCTCTTGACCCCTCCATTATTTCATTTTCCTCACGTTTACTCTTCATTGAAATTAAGATTATTTATTATTTTTTTTGTTGCCAGAGCCTCCAGTTTCCGGTATTTTCTTTCATTTCACCTCTTTCTATTTACTCTTTTTCTTATTAAAACTAAAAATCAACAGTTATTTCTTCAAAAAATTATTTTGAAAGTGTCAGCAAAATTTTTTTTTTTATTTTTGGGGACCCGAATTATATTATCACCTTAATTTTTTTCTAACTTGCTTTTAATACTATGTATTAACGTTTTAAAATAATAATAATAATAATTAATAATAATAATAATGATACTGTATTTTTAAAGGCCATACCTTATGGGTTTTCGGATAATTGTGCATTTTGTGTATGTGATTTGAAGATGTAGATTTGAGACGTAGATGAAGTCACAGGTGACGTAGAAGTTACGGGAGATGTAGAAGTTACGGGAGACGTAGAAGTTACGGGAGACGTAGAAGTTACGGGAGACGTAGAAGTTACGGGAGACGTAGAAGTTGCGGGAGACGTAGAAGTCGCGGGAGACGTAGAAGTCACGGGAGACGTAGAAGTCACGGGAGACGTAGAAGTCGCGGGAGACGTAGAAGTCGCGGGAGACGTAGAAGTCGCGGGAGACGTAGAAGTCGCGGGAGACGTAGAAGTCGCGGGAGACGTAGAAGTCGCGGGAGACGTAGAAGTCGCGGGAGACGTAGAAGTCGCGGGAGACGTAGAAGTCGCCGGAGACGTAGAAGTCACGGGAGACGTAGAAGTCACGGGAGACGTAGAAGTCACGGGAGACGTAGAAGTCACGGGAGACGTAGAAGTCATGGGAGACGCAGACAAAGTCGCAACAGACGCAGACGACGTCACAACAGACGTAGACAGTCACAACAGACGTAGACAAAGTCACAACAGACGTAGACAAAGTCACAACAGACGTAGACAAAGTCACAACAGACGCAGACAATGTCACAACAGACGTAGACAAAGTCACAACAGACGCAGACAATGTCACAACAGATGCAGACAATGTCACAACAGATGCAGACGATGTCACAACAGATGCAGATGAAGTCACAACAGACGCAGACGAAGTCACAACAGACGCAGACGAAGTCAACAGATGTAGACAAAGTCAACAGATGTAGATGAAGTCGCAACAGACGCAGACGAAGTCACAACAGACGCAGACAAAGTCACAACAGACGTAGACGAAGTCACAACAGACGTAGACGAAGTCACAACAGACGTAGACGAAGTCACAACAGATGTAGACGAAGTCACAACAGACGCAGACAATGTCACAACAGATGCAGACGATGTCACAACAGATGCAGATGAAGTCACAACAGACACAGACGAAGTCACAACAGACGCAGACGAAGTCAGCAGATGTAGACAAAGTCAACAGATGTAGATGAAGTCGCAACAGATGCAGACGAAGTCAGAACAGACGCAGACAAAGTCACAACAGACGTAGACGAAGTCACAACAGACGTAGACAAAGTCACAACAGACGTAGACAGTCACAACAGATGTAGACGAAGTCACAACAGACATAGGCAAAGTCACAACAGACGCATACAATGTCACAACAGACGCAGACGATGTCACAACAGATGCAGATGAAGTCACAACAGACACAGACGAAGTCACAACAGACGCAGATGGTCACAACAGACAGACGAAGTCACAACAGACGTAGACGATGTCACAACAGACGTAGACGAAGCCACAACAGACGTAGACGAAGTCATAATAGACAGACGAAACTGCAGCAGACGTGAACGAAATCACAACAGACGTAAACAACGACGCAGCACACGTAAACGAAGTCACAACAGATGTAAACGAAGACAGCATAAGTAAATGAAGACAAGACATAAGCGAAGACGCAGCACATGTAAAAGATGACGCAGTAGACGTAAATAAAGACCGATGAAGTAAAAGTCACGGTGATACCGACAAATGGAGAGAGACGTCTATAGTTAATATTATAGCAATATAATATTACTATAGTTAATATTCCTAATATATATCCTTTTATTGTAACTGCCTTTTTTGGGCTGTCCTAGGTTCTTTACACACATGATAAATTAGACATATATGTCTAATTTATCAACTTGTCGGTTCTCTGAACCATTCATCTACATATTTACACATATGCTACTATGTATGATAATCTATGTAGCTGTATTTGTGTATACCTGAATAAACTTATTTATATGTTTTAACTTTAAAGGCTTTAAATAATAAGATACTACAAGGACCCCAGTGGAAATAAGTTACTTTGACTTTTTTGAATTAAGTAAGTTTATTTTGGTACAGGTGCACGTAAGTACAGTTACACAAATTATCATACGTAGTGACATGTATAAATTACGTAGGATAACCCAGAAAAATCAGAGTGATTTGTTTCCATTGGAGTCCTTGAGTTTATTTCTACTAGATGTTTTCCTACGTAATCTACACTATGTATGATAATGTACTTATGTGTACCTGTACCTAAATAAACTTAAATATTAGCAAAATATTATTACAAATGTGCAAAACTTCTTGAGTTAATCAACTCTTAGTATTGAATCATGTCCTTCACCTGGCCAGATGTAAGCGAAGACTTTTTTTTTGGATTATCCTAGGTAATTTATACACGTTACTAGGTATGATAAGTGTACTTGTGTACCTGTACCTAAATAAACTTGTTTACTCATGTCTACTGATGGCAGAGTAAGGTTAAGTTACAGTGGCCTATTTTAGATTGGGTTAGGTGGAATTTTTTTTTACCATTTGCAAAGCAAATTAACATCTGATCATTATACCCAGCTTAATATTGTGCAGTACAAAAATTGCTGGCTGAAATCTGCAATGGAGCAGGTGTTTACTATTACCTAAATAAAATATATATTGATGTTTTATTAAGTGAATTAAGTTTGATAATTTTGTGAGTTTTGTCAGATTTTTGGGACAACCTCAGTTGAAATCAACCACATTACATGGCTTTTTTTGGTTATCTTGGGTTAATAGCCCTTTTGGTTATCCTGGGTTAATAGCCCTTCCCTCCAGGGTTGAGTAACTCTAATGATGTCTTCTTTTCTTGACAAGGGAGGTTTACCAAGGTAACTGTAGAGTGAGATTGAATTATAGTTAAAAAATGAAGAGTATAGCAAAAGGAGAAATTATACTATTACAGTGTCCAGGCTGGTGAGTTCCTTGTTTTTTGTGGTGTTACCAGGTGACCGAGAAATCTGAATATTTTACCTGCAATGGACTGATGGCACCTAAGGGTTATCAGTGGTATTTTGCCAGAAGATCAACTAGTTTGTGAGGTATGCTATTGATACCAGAGGTAATAGGGCATATCCACCACAAGACCTAGTCTCAGACTGGGCCGCAAGGGCGTTGACGCTTGTAACCCTCTCCAGGTTATCCTCCAGGTATATATAGTGGTACAGGTGTGACGTTTTGGCAGTCCCTAATTATATACAGGCCTGGGATTGGTGGGGAGGAGGTAACAAGGTTTTTTTTCTGCGATGTTCTTGAAAGAATTTGTCTGGCTCTGGTGAGGAAGGTTTTGGTATCCTTGTTAAAGAACTTCAGAGGACATATATGCCTACCAGGCTTTTAGTAGCTGATTTTGTGAAGCTGTTTGTTGAATACTTTACAGGTTCATATGTATTTGTTTTTTTAGAGGGACAGCTTGTTTATATTTAAATGACTCTTATAGATAAGTTTAACAAAGCTTCTAAACACCTTAATTTCTTTTTTCAGAAACACAGACTGAATTAAACCCAGAACTCAGCATGGAAAAAATAGAGCAGATTAAAGTTCGTCCTCCAGATCAGAAGGAGTTTACTGTTGCCACCCCTCAAGAATTTGTCAGGAAGTTTGGAGGCAAAAAAGTTATCACAAGAGTAAGTCATGAACACTATACTGTATGGTATTACATTTACATTAATGAAGTGACAATTCCAGTACTGTAACTGACAAATTTGGAGATACTGTAATACATTATGCATTATGGTCATTTGCATTATTACAGATGCACAGTATTGTGTTAATGTAAATTTTTTTTGCTATACATAATGTTAGACAAATGCTTTAGTTAATAATAAATATTTTGATCAGATCCTCATTGCAAACAATGGCATTGCTGCAGTTAAGTGTATGCGTAGCATACGCAAATGGGCTTACGAAGTGTTTAGAAATGACCGTGCCTTTCATTTCATTGGTATGGTAACCCCAGAGGATCTTAAAGGTATGGTATAATATTTTAAATGTGTGATTGATTATTTTGGCAAGTCATGTGAAATGTATGATGGGGAGTTAACTGAAATGTATTTTATTCTTGCTTAATATGAAAACTTATTGTGTTAGGCAGTATTAGTGACAAAATTTAAATTACTTTGGTTATTCATGCTCAATAATGGTTTGAATTTGTTGATCAGAACTTGAAACTCTAAGCCAGTGCCATGTAATCAAATTTGTTTCTACATTATTAAGTATAATATGCTGAGTTCATTGTTATGGCAAGATTTCTTTAAGTATTTAAGTGAATATTACAGTTTAGTGTTCACACTTATTTCCCAGTATTCTATAGTACCAGTTTTTTGATAATAGAAAAAATATGATACAAAATATTTTTGAAAGGAAAGTTTAGTGCACATTTTCAGTTTAATTTGTCATAAAAATTCACATTAAAATTTGGCAGGAAAGAAATTTGTAAGGTAATTAATTTTTCTATTTTCAGCTGGAGCTGAATATATCAAAATAGCAGATACAACAGTGTGGGTGCCTGGAGGTGCGAACAACAACAACTATGCCAATGTGAAACTCATTCTTGACATTGCCACCCGTTATGATGCAGATGGTGTCTGGGCTGGGTGGGGTCATGCCTCTGAATACCCTGAACTTCCAGGTAAGCATGTTTCTTTTACAGTATACTGTCTCATTCACTCTTGCTCTAGTTAGCTTTCTCTCAAGCTCCCTCTCTAGCTCCCTCTCTAGCTCCCTCTCTAGCTCCCTCTCTAGCATACTCTCCTATTGTCTCACTCTCTCTCCCTCTGTAGCTCTCTTTTTCTCTCACTTGCTGCCCCTCTCTAACTTTCCCTAGGTCTTGTTAGCGCTCTAGCTCTTGCTCTGGATTACTCTTTTGCTTCCTCTCAATCTTGTTCTCTAGCATACTCTCTAGCTCACTCTAGCTTCCTCTTCCACTCCCTGTTAATGTATATATTTTGAGTACAGTACTTCTTTTTGATCTTCAGTTTCATTTATTTTGTAACAGCAAAGCTACACAAGAATGGTATTGCTTTCATTGGTCCACCTGAAAAGGCTATGTGGGCCCTAGGAGACAAAATTGCATCCAGCATAGTTGCCCAAACTGCTGATATACCAACACTTCCATGGTCTGGCTCAGGTTAGTGTGCAAGATTGTTGTGTGTACTGTGATTGCAAGTACTTGTAGCCATTTTTCTTATGTAGCATGTCTTTAATGGTAATGGTAGTTTTTTTTTTTTTTAACACATTCATCTTCCACAAGGTAGAGTGACTCGAAAAAGAAGGAAGCCTCATAAAGTTTTTTTTTTCATTTAGTAATTTATACAGAAGGGGTTACTGGCCCCATGCTCCTGGCATTTTAGTCGCCTCTTATGACATGCATGGCTTACGGAGGAGATTCTTTTCCACTTCCCACTGGAGAATGATAGAGTATAGTATGGAAAAACTCTTGTAAAGTAAAATCGCTCATAGTTCTTTATGCTAAAGAAGATATCCCTGGAGGCCTGGCATGGTACCATTTTGTGGGGTCAGTGACCACCAGAATGTCTACTGGTAATCTACAGGGGGATTCATGGTAAAATTTTTAATAGATGCTGTGAAGAATTATTTATTCAGTACGTATTTGACACTGTTAAAATAAGATTTGCTCGTATTTTTAACCCAGAGGGTTAGCCACCCAGGATAACCCAAGAAAGTTAGTGCATCATCGAGGACTGTTTGTCTTGTTTCCATTGGGGTTCTTTAGTCCAGTCTCTCAGGATGTGACTCAAACCAGTTGGCTAACACCCAGTTACCTACTCAGAGCTAGGTGAACAAGGACCAACTAGCTAGTTGATTTGGGATAGGACTTGTTTGTTTTGATGACTGAATTGTGAAATGAAAATTTTAAATTAGACTATTGCTTTTTCTGTTAATCAATGGTAATGTGTGTATATTTTGAGTGAAGCAATTTTCCTTTATTTCATTTTGTTACAGATAGGAAGTATAGGCTAATGATATTTAGTTTTTAGAATATGTAACCTAATTTTAACATAATTTTTTAATTTTTCAGGTCTAAAAGCTGAGTACAATGACAGTGACTCTGGCTCTAGATTGAAAATCCCACATGAGTTGTATAAGCAGGGGTGTGTTGAGACTGTGGAAGAAGCACTTACTGCTGCCAAGAAAATAGGATTTCCTGTCATGATTAAAGCCTCTGAGGGTGGGGGAGGAAAAGGTATCCGCAAAGCTGAGTCGGAAGATAACTTTCCAGCTCTCTTTCGACAGGTTGGTATGCTATTAATTTATTAGTAAACTTGTTTTTTTTTTTTTTCAACAAGTCGGCCGTCTCCCACCGAGGCAGGGTGACCCAAAAAAGAAAGAAAATCCCCAAAAAGAAAATACTTTCATCATCATTCAACACTTTCACCACACTCACACATTATCACTGCTTTTGCAGAGGTGCTCAGAATACAACAGTTTAGAAGCATATACGTATAGAAGATACACAACATATCCCTCCAAACTGCCAATATTAGTAAACATTCCACAATAATATAAATTATAGTTTAATTTTTTTAACATACTGGCTGTCAATTAGATAATTATATTGTGTGTACCTAAATACTGTAATATCAAACCAAGAACATTTCCATACATTGAAATACAATACTCTTACTGTATTTCAATATATAATTTAAGCTTCTTTTTAGCAAATGCATTGAATAACTATGGAACTGGTATATATTTATAGTTTTTTAATGTGATTCATGAGAAGGTTGCTGAATAGTTTTTATTTAACTTAATGGCTGTCTCCCGCCAGGCCACGGGACACCTGCTTTTTGTGTATTACTGCCATAATATACTGGTATATAGTAGGACCCCCGTATTCATGGGGGATACATTCCAAGACCTACTGTGGATACCTGAAACCATGGATAGTAGCGCAACCCTTTACGTATATGTCATTTTTTGTTAACATGCATACCTATGATAAATTTTAATTGATAAATTATGCAGAATAAGTCTAGAATTAGCACTTTTTCACCGATGGGAAGCATTTTACACCTCATAAGCTTTGAAGAACTATCGGCATCACTACTGTTGCACTTTTGGGCCATTATTAAGGAAAATTAAAGGTCATTTTTGGGACATGGCAAACTGTGGATAACTCAAAACGAGGATACTGATAGTGTTCCCTTAATATAAGGATTAGGTGAGTAAAAATGTTACCGGGTGGTTTGATAGTAAACAGGCCAATCACCTACTAATACTACATGTAGTCCATCAGACTCATCACTCCATTGCCTGGTTTACTTTATCCTACCATTTCTAAGGGCCAATGAATTTTTATGATTATTTTTGATTATTTTTGTTATTCATTCATCATTTTATACAAAACAGTTTATGTGATTCATTATTGGGTCATATACAGGAGCTTGGATTACTGTCTAGTATTATAAACGCTTCTCTAGGCTTAGGTTAAGGCCTATGAGCAGCGTAACATTTGGCTTCCAAGATGCTGGGTAAATTTTCTGGACTTTTTTTTTTTTTTTTTTTTTTTTTCTCTCGTCAAGTCGGCCGTCTCCCACCGAGGCAGGGTGACCCAAAAAAGAAAGAAAATCCCCAAAAAGAAAATACTTTCATCATCATTCAACACTTTCACCACACTCACACATTATCACTGTTTTTGCAGAGGTGCTCAGAATACAACAGTTTAGAAGCATACACATACAAAGATACACAACATATCCCTCCAAACTGCCAGTATCTCAAACCCCTCCTTTAAAGTGCAGGCATTGTACTTCCCATTTCCAGGACTCAAGTCCGACTGTATGAAAATAACCGGTTTCCCTGGAATCCCTTCACTAAATATTACCCTGCTCACACTCCAACAGATCGTCAGGTCCCAAGTACCATTCGTCTCCATTCACTTATATCTAAAATGCTCACGCACGCTTGCTGGAAGTGATTGTGGGAAAAAATAGCTTCTTTGATGCCGTAAAATAAGGTATCTTCTTTTTGTGAGCAGTGGTCATGTGTTTTTGGTACAGTACCATGTTTAGACTTGGGTCCCATCCCCAAACTGTCTCATTTTATAGATGCAAATATACAAATATTCCAAAATCAGAAAAAATTGAAATCCGAAACGCTTCTGGTCCCAAGCATTTTGGATAAAGGATTCTCAACTGTATTCAGTTTTAGGTCAGTACTGATACAGTGGACCCCCGGTTAACGATATTTTTTCATTCCAGAAGTATGTTCAGGTGCCAGTACTGACCGAATTTGTTCCCATAAGGAATATTGTGAAGTAGATTAGTCCATTTCAGACCCCCAAACATACACGCACAAACGCACTTACATAAATACACTTACATAATTGGTCGCATTGGGAGGTGATCGTTAAGCGGGGGTCCACTGTACTTGGTTTTTGGCCAATACTGATACCATAAAAATTAACTGCTGCCCACCAATACTTAGGTATATTCCTATTAGAAAGTCTCCTGGTTTGTCTGGATCTTGTAATCTGGAGTACTCTGTATTTAGGGCTAGTTACTCGCTGAACAAAATATAACCATTTTCTTGCACTCTCCGCACTTTGTGCACTTACTTCTTGGCTTGGTGTAACTTCCCTTTGGCTAAAATGTCACTTTAATAACATAAAATATCTTTGAGGGAGATCTTAATTGTGATGTTAGCACACTTTTGGAAAGATAGCAGTGGAATGAATGATGGTGAATGTGTTTTCTTTTTTAGGTGACCCTACCTTGTTGGGAGATGGCTGTTGAGGTAAAAAAATTAAATTGCACATTTACTTCAACTGATTATCATGGTCTATTCTTGTCATTGTTTATTGTGAATCTGACAATGGAGATAGTATCTACCATATCATTTCATAGTTCATTCTACTGTACCTATTTACTGCACTTATGGTGCTCTGGGTTTGATTCACAAGCAGGACGAGATGTATGGGCAAGTCTCCTTACACCTGTTGCTCATGTTCACTTTGTAGTAAAAATAGTTACATTGATGTTAGAATAATTAAACTTCTGGCTTGTTTATATATTTAACTTCCTTTTGTTGTCATTTATTTTTTACACTTTCAAGTCAGATAATCTATGATTGTCTCTCCTGCCTATTGATTACAGTTATTTCACAGTTGGGCAACACAGTTAAGTAACATATTTGTCTTGCAGTTATTAGATGGAGTGTCAGATCTCTGCTACACATTGTGTGGAATGATCTATATAGGTTTAGTGCTTCACATAATTTCAGTAGTAATTATAATCTAGTATTTTTGTATAATTTGATTGAAACATTATTGATGTTCAGAATGTTATTTTGTTTTTCCTCAGGTGCAAGCAGAAGTTCCTGGGTCTCCCATTTTCATAATGAAGCTAGCTGAATGTGCACGTCATTTAGAGGTGCAAATTATTGCTGATGTGTATGGCAATGCTGTATCACTGTTTGGACGTGATTGTTCTGTGCAGCGGAGACATCAGAAAATTATTGAGGAAGCCCCTTGTGTCATTGCTAATCCTGAAGTTTTCCACAAAATGGAGCAGGTTATACCAAATTAAACTGATTGTATCATAACATTCTTGATGTTATTCTTTGAAAATATTAAATGACTACAGTGACTACTTATCTTCTGTGCATACCTGTTTCCACACCAGTAATCATTAGCTCGATATATATAATTATATTATTCTTTCAGGCTGCTATCAAGCTAGCGAAATTAGTGGGTTATGTTAACGCTGGTACAGTTGAATACTTGTATGATAATGACGGAAACTTCTTTTTTTTGGAGTTGAACCCTCGTCTTCAAGTGGAGCATCCTTGCACAGAAATGATTACAGACATAAATTTACCAGCAGCACAACTGCAGGTGAGATAGAACTTTGCCTTTATTCTTTAATCTTGAAATGCTTCAGTAATTTTTCCTAGTCTTTTCTTGTTTCAGAATGAAAATGTTATATTTACTGGTTTAATATCTTAACATTTCTCTTTGTACTGTATTTTGAAATTAGAATTGTAAAAGTTACACGAAGTTTATTTTTTGAAATATTTGTCTCTACTCTGTAGGTTGCAATGGGTATCCCACTGCATCGAATTCGTTGTGTGCGAGTCCTCTTTGGGGAATCTCACTGGGGTGATAATGTGATAGATTTTGACAATTCCACGAGTAAGCCTGTGCCTAAAGGTCACTGCATTGCTGCCCGCATTACCAGCGAAAATCCCGATGAAGGTTTGTCACTTTTTGGTTCATGCCTTTTTGCACAAAAATAAAAAGTTTGTGTTTTGTGAATGGAGGGACTCTTAGATTAAAAAAGTGATTTAAGAAGAGAGTAAAAAAAAGTTAATAGATAATACTAGTCACCCTGCCTCGGTGGGAAACTGCTGGTGTTAAAAAAAGAAAATGATCACTGGATCTCTTCATTATATTGAACAGTCTTCATCGTGCTTGGCTCATTTCTCTTCCAGCTATTTTGTAGGGTAGCCTTGCCCCAGCAGTTTCCCTTTATTACTTAATTGAAAGGTTAGTAAAGTTTTTTTTTTTTTTTAAACACTTTGGCTGTCTCCCACTGAGGCAGGGTGATCCCAGAAAAAGAAACACTTTCACCATCAGTCAACAATTTCACCGTCATTCACACATAATCACTGTCTTTGCAGAGGCTCCCAGATATGACAGTGTAGATGTCACTCCGAATAGCCAATATCCCAAACCCCTAATTTAAAGTGCAGGCATTGTACTTCCCAACAGAACTCGAGTCCGGCTAGCCGGTTTTCCTGAATCCCTTCACGAAACATTACCCTGCTCATACTCCAACAGCTCTTCAGGTCCCAAAAACCATTCGTCTCCATTCACTCCTATCTAACATGCTCACACATCCCTGCTGCATGTGCAAGCCCCTTGCATGCAAAACCTCTCTTACCCCATCCTTTCCTATGATGACTCCAACCCCTCCTCCCCTTCACTACAGATTTATATACCTTCCAAGTCGATCTGTTTGCTCCACCCTCTCTAAATCACCAAACCACCTTAACAACCTCTCTTCAGCCCTCTGAATAATTCTTTTAGTAATTCTACACTTCTTCATAATTTTCACACTACGAATTCTCTGCATAATATTTACACCACACATTGCCCTAAGACATGATATCTCTTGTTTCTCTTAGTAAAATAAATTTGAAGTCAGTGTTCTGTCACCATTACTTGATTTACAACATGAAAAACTTTGTGTGACTTCTCATTTTAGTAAATTTATTTTGGCATTTTCTAGATTAACACGAGCTATTACGATAATTTATTTACTTTTTTTCTGTGGTCACTTGGACATATGAAGCATTACCAGGTATTGCTTTTACTCAGGTTTCAAGCCCAGCTCAGGAACAGTGCAAGAATTAAATTTTCGATCCAGCAAAAATGTATGGGGATACTTCAGTGTGTCAGCTTCAGGAGGACTTCATGAGTATGCTGACTCTCAGTTTGGTCATTGCTTTTCTTGGGGAGAGAACAGAGAAGCAGCTAGAGAGTAAGTGAATGTATTAAAATACTTGACACATTATTTCCCTATCAGTCCTGTAATATTGCTTTCCAAATCCATATATTGTTCCTCTATCAATCGTGTCATATTCCTTTCCATATTCATATATGCAAGAAATATCTTCTTTATCAGTGTGGTTCACTTTTGTATTTGGGCTAGCAATTGATCCATATTTTTAACTAATTTTGTTTATCATTGCTAAAATATTTAAAGTTAAAATTGCTATGTGCAGCATCTAAAATTGTTCACTATACAGGAATCTGGTGATTGCTTTGAAGGAGCTCTCCATTCGAGGAGATTTTCGAACAACTGTAGAATATTTGATTACACTCCTTGAGACAGAAACATTCCAAGCAAATTCTATTGGTAAGTTTGACTTGAAAATGTAATAGTGTTTGACATTTACCACTTGAGACTTCTCTTTAGGCACACTGCATCCATGCAGTGTTTAAAGTGGCATAAAATTTTAAAATGTTTGTTTCATAATTTATTATATGACAGATTTGCTGTCACATTAGTGCAGTAGTTACCACTTGCTTGGACTGAGAAATGAGAAAGTTAAATCTCAGTAGCTTGCAAAGATATGTTTTACTATTTTTGTAATTATAACTATTCATCCTTTAGAACGTTACATTATGTAATGTTTTTTTGATCATTTACATTCCTTTAGATTCATTATATCTAGTTTCTTTTGGATTATAATGTAGTTTTTTTAATTAACCCATTTTGAGATGATGTAGCGATGTGGTATCTACTTTGCCAGGTAAGTATACGATGTAGCAAAATATTCCTTTTCAAGAAAGTATGTCTTGGAAGGGTTAGAAGGAGGGGGTAAAGGAAGTTTTGAATGCTGTTAGAGAGCATTAGATTGGATTGAGTGGCAATAAGTGATTTTGATGACTTGGTGTGCTGTTGGAGTGTGAACTAGGTAATGTTTATGAAGTCATTCAGGAAAGATGGTTAGCCATTTCTGATTTTTTTTTCTCGCTGTTCCCTGCAATTGTGTGCATGTTTTATATAATTTAGTTTGTGTGATCTTTTCCAATAAAATTAGCTTTTTTTGTACTTTATTAGACACAGGTTGGCTGGATCACTTAATAGCAGCGCAGGTGAAAGGGAAGAGACCAGAGACCTTGTTAGCAGTGATGTGTGCATCTGTTTTAATTGCTGATAATGCTATTCAGGATGCTTATAATAATTTCTACAACTCTTTAGAAAAGTAAGTGTACATTTTTTTCCTAATTTTTAAGTATAGTCAAGGGCTGGAGGGAGGGTGTAAGGGAATTTTATGTGGTAGGAGCATGGTCATCCAGCACATATTTGTGTGTGTGTGTTTTTTAGATCATAGTGGAGATAAGTGGTTTTAGGGATTTTACTTGCTGTTTGAGTTAAGCGAGGTAACTTTTTAGTAAATGCTATGGTGTTCGGGAGAGGGGTGGGATTAAATTATGGGGAATCAAATACAAAATGGGAATTGACACAGTTGCTTTTTGCTGATGATACTGTGCTTATGAGAGATTCTAAAGAAAAATTGCAAAGATTAGTGGATGAGTTTGGGAATGTGTGTAAAGGTAGAAAGTTGTAAGTGAACATAGAAAAGAGTAAGGTGATGAGGGTATCAAATGATTTAGATAAAGAAAAATTGGATATCAAATTGGGGAGGAGGAGTGTGGAAGAAGTGAATGTTTTCAGATACTTGGGAGTTGACGTGTCGGCGGATGGATTTATGAAGGATGAGGTTAATCATAGAATTGTTGAGGGAAAAAAGGCGAGGGGTGCGTTGAGGTATATGTGGAGTCAAAAAAGTTATCTATGGAGGCAAAGAAGGGAATGTATGAAAGTATAGTAGTACCAACACTCTTATATGGGTGTGAAACTTGGGTTGTGAATGCAGCAGCGAGGAGGCAGTTGGAGGCAGTGGAGATGTCATGTCTAAGGGCAATGTGTGGTGTAAATATTATGCAGAAAATTTGGAGTGTGGAAATTAGGAGAAGGTGCGGAGTTAATAAAAGTATTAGTCAGAGGGCTGAAGAGGGGTTGTTGAGGTGGTTTGGTCATTTAGAGAGAATGGATCAAAGTAGAATGGCATGGAGAGTGTATAAATCTGTAAGGGAAGGAAGGCGGGGTAGGGGTCGTCCTCGAAAAGGTTGGAAGGAAGGGGTAAGGGAGGGTTTGTGAGCGAGGGGCTTGGACTTCCAGCAGGCATGTATGAGCGTGTTCGATAGGAGTGAATGGAGACGAATGGTATTTGGGATCTGACGATCCGTTGGAGTGTGAGCAGGGTAATATTTAGTGAAGGGATTCAGGGAAACCGGTTATTTTTATATAGCCGGACTTGAATCCTGGAAATAGGAAGTACAATGCCTGCACTCTAATGGAGGGGTTTGGGATATTGACGGTTTGGAGGGATATGTTGTGTATCTTTATACGTTTATGCTTCTAAACTGTTGTGTTCTGAGCACCTCTGCTAAAACAGTGATTATGTGTGAGTGAGGTGAAAGTGTTGAATGATGATGAAAGTATTTTCTTTTTGGGGATTTTTTTTCTTTCTTTTTGGGTCACCCTGCCTCGGTGGGAGACGGCTGACTTGTTAGAAAAAAAAAAAAATCTTTTTAGTCCTGGAAGCAGGAGGTATAGTGCTTACACTCTGAAGAAGGGATGGGATGTATATTTCCAGAAGGTCATATAAGATTTAAAATGTCTGTGCTGGACAGATACCTAAAGTCAGTGCTGGATCAGCTGGGCTGTGGCTCGTATGTTGGACTGTGTGCGGCCAGCAGTAACAGCCTGGTTGATCAGGCCCTGATCCACCGGGAGGCCTAGTCATGGACTGGGCCGCGGGGGCATTGATCCCCGGAATAACCTCCAGGTAGCCAGGTAACTTCTGGCAAGACAGCTGTTGAATGAATAATGATAAATGCTTTCATCTTTTGTCATTCTACCTTGGCAGGAGGTGGCTGATATTAAGTAATTAAAATTTTGTTGATTTTTTCAGAGGACAGATCCTTCCATTGAAATCGCTAAACAATGTGGTTGAGGTTGACCTCATAACAGATGGGATAAAGTATCATGTACAGGCCACCAAGTCAGGTCCTACTCAATACTTTCTTGTGCTTAATGGCAATCACAAGTCTGTAGATTTTTTCCGCATGAGTGATGGTGGACTGCTTCTCTCAGTTGACAGTGTTAGTCATGTCACCTACCTCAAAGAAGAGGTGGACAAGTAAGTGATTTTTTAAGTTTATTATTTGGACATCTCTTGTAAATGTAGATTTTAGTTTGCTGCTAAATATTTTAAATCAGAATTGTAATTTAAAGATAAAACTGTCAAATGCTGTATAATGTGATTCTTTACTGACTACATATCACCCACTTGGTAGGCTTTAGCAAGCCAGAAACAGATCTGTTTGTGGCTTGATAAAGCCCACTGTGCAGGCAGAACATAGTCGTCAAAGGATTATGTTATACTGCATTGTCTGTCCATTAGCTTAGGACTTTACAAAATTGCTGCATGCAAGTTTTATATAGGTAGTAGATTGGCAGACAGCAACTGCCCAGGGAGGTACTACCGTCCTGCCAAGTGAATGTAAAACGAAAGCCTGTAATTGTTTTACATGATGGTAGGATTGCTGGTGTCCATTTTTCTGTCTCATAAATATGCAAGGTTTCAGGTACGTCTTGCTACTTCTACTTACACTTAGGTCACACTACACTTACATGTACAAGCATATATATATATATACACACATCCCTCTGGGTTTTCTTCTATTTTCTTTCTAGTTCTTATTCTTGTTTATTTCCTCTTATCTCCATGGGGAAGTGGAATAGAATTCTTCCTCCGTAGGCCATGCGTGTTGTAAGAGGCGACTAAAATGCCGGGAACAAGGGGTTAGTAACCTCTTTTCCTGTATATATTACTAAATGTAAAAGGAGAAACTTTCGTTTTTCCTTTTGGGCCACCCTGCCTTGGTGGGATATGGCCGGTGTGTTGAAAGTTGAAAGAAGAAGTTTTATATAGTATTATTTTTAATTTTATTTACTATTGTATTGTACTGTATATTTTTGTCAATAAATGATGATTTTTAAAATATTCTCAACAGATATTGCCTCACTATTGGCCATCAGACCTGTGTGTTTGAAAAGGAGAACGACCCAACAACCCTTCGCAGTTCAGCACCAGGGAAGCTCATCAATTACTTGCAAGAAGATGGAAGCCATGTGTTTGTAGGACAACCATATGCTGAAATTGAGGTATTTGAAAGATGTTTATACAGTAGGCTTAGTGGCCAAGGTCACAAATGGTTTTATACATGGTTTTTAAATGTATTCTGTAGTTTTGTTTCACAGTACTTATTACAAGTACATGTTTGGAAATGGGAATGTAAAGAATTGTAGAAAGAATGGCTGTGTCATTCCATTAATCTGAATTATGACAGTAGTTCAATATCAAATGCCTAGTTTTGTGATTTTATTTTCTACGTGGGTCATTTTCTACCAAGGTTAGAGTAACCCAGTGAAACTAAAACTCACCATCAATTGCTCAGTAGCTGTCTTGCCAGAAGTGGAAAGACATCACAATTCAGTTACCTCTCTGAACTGCAACACTCACATCCCTCCTTCAGAACACTGCTTCCTACCCCTAGAGCCCAATCATGGCTAACTTAGTTTCCATGGTATTAATTTTAATATATACCCAATATCTTTCCTTCAGAGCATGAAGATGGTCATGGCATTGACTGTGACGGAATCTGGATGCGTGTATCACCTGAAGCGTCCTGGAGCTGTGTTGAGTGCTGGAGACATTATTGCAAGAATGGATCTTGATGATGCTTCCATTGTTACAAAAGCTAAACTCTATACAGGAGGATTTCCATCAAGCACAACACCTTTACCAAGGGAAGATGAGAAACTTAATCACATATACCAAACACGAAGAGCGATTCTGGATAATGTTCTGAATGGTAATGCTTTTTATGTTTTTTGTAAATTTGTAACATTAATACAATAGTTACTTTTTCATTAATGTGTCATGCAGGTGCAGCACTCATGTTAATAACATTAATAGAAGACAGAATAAAGCTCAAGCAGCAGTTGATCTACTAATTAACCATATAAAAATGTTGAATTATTAGAAATGTGACAATTATCCTGGAGTTTTCCTTTGCATCTTTAATATACAAAGGTCAGATAGGAAGGTTTGAAACATTCAGGGCTCAAACCTCATTTTTCAAAATAATACTAGTTGTTGTATATGTTTAACATAATGGCCAGAAACTTGAAATTCAAACTTCCCCAAGGCTATGGCATAAAATTTTTAAGCAATTTTGTAGTCACAAAAAATATTATTTACAACCTAAATCCAACTGTTTAAGTTTTTTTTTTTTTTAAACTTGCCTGAAGCCCATTTTTTTTTATATAATTGAGGCTATTCAACATAGCCCTTCACTTTAGGGATGTTCTGCTTATCCCTTAAAGAATCCAAACGTATATGTACGTTCTCTCGCGTAGCGCCCCAAACATACATATACGTTTCATTTGTCATTCATTCAACATTGGCACGATAGGCCTGAGTCGCTTAGACATGAGAGAATGGGTGTGCACACTCAGTGTGTGCCGTATGAAAAAAATTGGGGATGCCTGGGTACCACATGCTCTTTTTTCCTATAAAAAAAAAAACGATTTTTTTTTCTCAAAATATTCAGGGTGCTGTGCACGTGAACGTACATATACGTTTGGACCATTTAAGGGTTAATTGTATCTTATTTCTTAATGACCTTACATTAGCATTTTATTTGTGAATATAATATTCGACTAATGACTAATGTGTTGGCATTCCTATATTTCTCTGCTAAAAATTATTGTCATTAGTTAATCTATTGAATAACAGTTGGCTAGCTCTTCAGGGGATGTTTCAGAAATAAAATATAAGTGGAATATTTGTCTCTGTCTGTGGAGACCAATATCCAAGTTATTTGTTTAATCCTGCTGCTGTATGGGGAGTCGCAGTAAAAAATGCTTCCTGAAGAAATATTGTGGCTAAAACAAATGTTTTTTATTGCATGCATTCTTTTTCCTTTTTAATCCATTGTGATATAAAGCCAGGTTTATGCAGAATTGGGGATACTTTGCTTGGTCACAATAGCTACCAAAATATATATTTTTCACTTGTCTTTTCAGGATACTGCCTTCCAGATGACTACTTTACCCCTATGGTGAAAGATACTGTTCAAAAACTAATGAGTGTGTTGAGAGACCCAAATCTTCCTCTTCTTGAACTACAGGTATTATTTTATTGTATACCAGAATCTGTGTGCTCATTATACACTTATGATTTCAGTTTGTTTAGTTTAGTTTGCTGTGTTTCCTTAAGAGTAAAATTTGGTTAGGTAGGTAGGGTTCGTAAGGAAACAGGACATGTGTTTCCTGATGCGGATTTTAGTCAGATGATGACCCACTGTTGGAGCTTCTGGTCATTTGACCGAGACCTTCTGCTGGCTTACAAGTCCACCCCTTTAAAAATTATTGTCATATTTATAACCACTTAATGATTAAAATTGAAAGTAAAATTGACTGCAGCTTGAATAAGGTTAGCTACATTATAGAATGAATTCAGATTTAAGAGGAAAACATTTACAGTATGCTGTTATTCTTCTTGTACCTATATTTCCATTAACACACAAACATCAAGAATAAAAGATAAATCCACAAATCATAATATTCCCAGTTTTATGTTGAGAAAGCAGGCATTGTATGTTGCACCTCCAACACTCGAGTTCAGCTTACTGGTTTCACTGAATCCTTTCATGGATATTATAATTCTCACGCACTAAAACATGTCTGTCTGACTCAAGAAATCGTAATGACATGATTGCAAACAAACCACAGTATGGGCGAGGATTGAACTTGCAGTGAGTGAGTTGTAAAACTCCAGACCGGTGTGTTAGCCTTCACCATTCCTTGTGTTGAATAATTCTCATAGTTTTAGTTCTTTGCATAACTATAATAATAATTCACAATCTCTGATCTGCTATATTTGCTTGATGGATTTTCATGCCTTACTCATGTTTGAGTAAGTGAGATGTTGGATTGGGTAAGATAGGAGATTGAATGGGATGAATAGAGATTCTCAAATCATGGAAATTTTATTGATAATTTGTAAAGTAATTACATTGTACTAATACTACGCTCAGTTCTCTCCACTGCACATTTTCCACTACTATAATCACCACACTCAGTTCACCACCATGCTTAATCCACTATTGCCACACTCAGTCCACCAACATGCTTAATCCACTACCACCACACTTGATCCACCATTACCATGCACACTTTTTAAATTCTTTTTGAATTTGCTAGCCATGGCAGGAAAACATCTTGGTTGTGAATATACACTATATATTAGAAATAATGTTGCTTATATGCCTGTTAATATACTGACAGCATTGTTGACTCTCGTTGTGACTATTACATTGCTTTTATTATATTTTTGCAGGAAGTCATATCATCTGTGAGTGGAAGAATACCTCAAGCTGTGGAGAAAAAGATTCGCAAGTACATGATGATATATGGCAGTAATGTGACCTCTATGCTAGCACAGTTTCCTTCCCAAGAAATTGCAAGTGCTGTTGACAGGTCTGTAATCATTATTATTTTCTTATAATTAATTTTTACTTACATGTTTCCTTTTGGGCCACCCCGCCTTGGTGGGATGCGGCTGGTGCGTTGAAAGAAAGAAGAATTAATTTTAAAGAATGGGAGTAAGGTTAATAACATACATTACCTAAAGGTAAAGACGATACATAGCTGCTTCTGTTCACTAGTTGGTTAGCTTGAGATCGTTTTCCTGGCCAGTGCCTGTCAGATCAGCCAATGTTGAAGAATGAGACTTGGTTGGCAGGCTGTTTGCAGCCTGAAAACCATCACTGTATGGCTGATCAGGTATTCATTAAGTCTGATTATGAATAAAATTCCTGTACCTTTTAATTAAGTGAAGTTGTTTAAAAGAATGCTATCATTTTCCTACAGTCATGCTGCATCCTTACTGAAGAAAGACCGTGATGTGTTCTTTGTAACCACTCAAGGATTAGTTCAACTTTGTCAACGGTACAAAAAAGGCAGCCGTGGTCGTATGACACAGGTTGTTCAAGAACTTCTAAAATATTATCTTCAAGTTGAAACACAATTTCAGCATGGTATGTAATTTTTTCCAGTTAACATTATTTTGAGACCCATTGGAGAAGTGTGTGAATTCAACAGTTTCTCCATCCATTAACTTTAAGAAATTTCCCATGCAGAAAATTTCTTACCTTCAACCAATTTTACAGACAATTTTCCTCCTTAGATTCATTTAATAGAAAATTTTTTTCTTATATCAACATTATTATATACTGTACATACCCTGCTCGGTGGGAGACGGCCAACTTGTTGAAAAAAAAAAAAAAATATAGCCCTAGGTAGTAGGTTGGTAGACAGCAACTGCCCAGGGAGGTACTACCATCCTGCCAAGTGAGTGTAAAATGAAAGCCTGTAATTGTTTTACATGATGGTAGAATTGCTGGTGTCCGTTTTTGTGTCTCATAAACATGCAAGATTTCAAGTACGTCTTGCTACTTCTACTTACACTTAAGTCACACTACACATACATGTACAAGCATATATATACACACACACCCCTCTGGGTTTTCTGCTATTTTCTTTCTAGTTCTTGTTCTTGTTTCATTCATCTTATCTCCATGGGGAATGTGGAACAGAATTCTTCCTCTGGGAGCAAGGGGCTAGTAATCCCTTCTCCTGTATAAATTACTAAATTTAAAAAGAGAAACTTTTGTTTTTCTTTTTGGGCCACCCTCCCTCAGTGGGATACGGCCAGTGTTGTTGAAAGAAGAAAGAAAGACCAACATAGCAATACATGCAATACGTGCACGAGTGCGTTTGATAGGAGTGAATGGAGACGAATGGTATTTGGGACCTGATATCTGTTGGAGTGTGAGCAGAGTAATATTTAGTGAAGGGATTCAGGGAAACCGGTTATTTTTATATAGCCGGACTTGAGTCCTGGAAATGGGAAGTACAATGCCTGCACTCTAAAGGAGGGGTTTTGGGATATTAGCAGTTTGGAGGGATATGTTGTGTATCTTTATACGTATATGCTTCTAAACTGTTGTGTTCTGAGCACCTCTGCAAAAACAGTGATTATGTGTGAGTGAGGTGAAAGTGTTGAATGATGATGAAAGTATTTTCTTTTTTGGGGATTTTCTTTCTTTTTTGGGTCACCCTGCCTCGGTGGGAGACGGCCGACTTGTTGGAAAAAAAAAAAAAATGTATTGTACAGTTTGCCTTACATTTGGGTACACCTCGATTGTAGGAGTTGACCATTTTGTATAGGGCGTGCTGATGTTTGTTTACTGAGCCCAATTGGATGACTGCATTTCTTGTCTTGATGTTGGAGAATCTTCATTAGTTGTTTGTGTATTAACCACTTAGTGCAAAGCAAGCATTTATTATAAATTACTTTTTTTTAAGTAAAGCTATATCAAGTTATGACTTGATAAAGCTCTACTTAGAGCTAGACATCTATAAATAGTTTTTCTATCTTATTTACTAGCAAGACCTGCCATTCTACAGTTGATGTTAGTCCTGGAGTGGCAAAGTATTTGATAAGTCTCTGCATTGCTACCCTGTATTGATTTATAGAGCTAATGATTTTTTTTTAACACACTGGCTGTATCCCACCAAGGCAGGGTGACCTAAAAAGAAAAACTTTCGTTTTTCATTTTAAATTTAGTAATAGCTTATGATGTGTTAGCGCTATTTGTTTTTGTCCCCATTTCATCTTAAGGCATCTATCTCTGTTAGGATCTGATTTAACCCTTTCAGGGTCCACGCACCAGTGGAGTCACGCACCAGTGTCCAAGAATTTTCAAAAAAAAAATTTGTTATTTTTTCTTATGAAATCGTAGAGAATCTTTTTGTGAAGGTAATAAAACAAAAAGTACGAAATTTGATGGAAAATTGACGAAATTATGCTCTTGCGAATTTTGATGTGTCAGCGATATTTACGAATCGGCGATTTTGCCGACTTTGACTCCCATTTTAGGCCAATTACATTATTCCAATCAACCAAATTCTTAGCTATTTCACTAGTATTACTTCTATTCTATCGATTGAGCACAAGAAATCGCCAAGTCAACTGTTTCAACTACAAAATAAAGTGATCGGAAATTGTTAATTTGGCCAATTTAACACAAAGTTCAAAATATTCCAATTTCAAAATAGGGTCCAGAATAAAAATGTAGGCATTCCTGGCACTAAACTAACATTTCCTCTGTTCATTAGTTATGTTTTGAGGCTTTACAAATAAATTCCATTTTGATTTTTATTCACATAATGAATTTTTATTCACACCAAAAAATAGAAGATTTACTGTTATGCAATACTGTAATAATTGTATAAATATCATCACCATATTTGTGAATGTATATTAGACCCACCAGCTGCGTGTATTAGACGTGTGAGGTTGTTTGTTTACTCTTGAATATCGGCAAAATTTAACATTTCGCTACTTTGAGCTCAGTTTCAAGCCATTTCCAGTGCTAAAACCAATCAAAATCATCTCTATTTCTGTAATATGTCTTCCATTCTATCAAATGAGACCAAGAAATCGCAAATACAACTATAAAAAACATACGAAAAAACACTGCAAAGTTACTGTTTTAATCGAAAAATCATGATTTCAGTTTTTTTCTCTCATTATACACAGTGTGCTGCAGGATCTGTTTTATGTGGTGCACACATACCACATAGATGTATTCTCTCATATCTAGGCCCAAATGTACCACTCACAGTTTATCAGAGTGAGCTGAGCTCATGACGTAGATCTATGGTTTGGACACTCACCGTAAAGCCGTAGATTTACGGGACGGACACTGAAAGGGTTAATTAAAATACTTATAATCTTGTAATAGGCATGCCTGGCACTTTATTATTGGAGCTTGAGTCAACCTCCTGGATAAACTTCTTCATAATCTTACCTGCTTAGTTGCACAAAGCTCTTAAGTTTCCATTCTACCAAATGCTTGTTGTTCATTATAATACAGTGGTAAGTGTTATATATAGTAAAGATACCTTACTTTTCCAGGGTCATATGACAAATGCGTCCATGCTTTGAGAGAAAAATACAAGGAAGACATTAGTAGTGTGCTGGCTGTACTTCTGTCACACTCACAAGTTGCTAAGAAAAATAAGGTTAGTATCCAAGATGAATAATCTTTCCTTTTTCACATTAAATGTATCTTATGAAACTGATGAAGACAGTCAGTTCTTATTCTGAGAGAGCAGTCTTTTATTTTTGTGCTAAACCCACAAGTCATACACTGTACTCACTGTACTGTGTGGGTTTTAATTTGAGGAAGAGGAGGGTTAGATATATGAAGTCTTAGCAGCTTTCTTGAAGAAATTTTTCCATTAATGGGCAGTTGGTAAGCTGTTTCATACTTTTTCTTTTATTTTGATTTATTGAGTTGTACTATTACAACATTACTTCCTGATTAGAATTACTGTTTATGGTCAATAATAATAATAAAAATAATAATCATAATAATAATAATATCTTTATTTCTTCAAGATGTACAAGATATACAGGCCTAGCTAATATCAATGACATACTACTGTATAGAAAGCTGCTTGTTATGTGGAGCATTTCAGGCAAATTAGATCAGTTTTGTCCCAGGATGCAACCCACACTAGTCGACTAACACCCAGGTACCCATTTTATATTGATGGGTGAACAGAGACAGCAGGTATCTTATGGAAACACATCCTAATGTTTTCCAGCCATACCGGAGATTCAAACTCCAGACCTCAGTGTGTGAGCTGAATGTGCTAGCGATCGAACTACGGGAGTTTATAAGAATGTTTAAAAGGGTTGTGTTAGTACATCAAAAGTGTACTGTTTACTTTTGTTACCACTGTTCTAATTCTTACATTTTTATTAATTCATATGTTTTCTAGATGGTGATTCTTCTTATAGAACATCTGTGTGGTCATGAGCCAGGCTTGACAGATGACCTCTCTCTGATCCTGGAACAACTTACTAAGCTCAACAGCACTGAACATTCTCGTGTAGCATTACGTGCACGCCAGGTAGGCAAAATATCATTCATTGTTAGAATGATCACATTTGTTTGTGTTTTAATTTTTTTTATTTTTCTTACTTAAAATATCATGTGAAGACATTGAAACTCCTTTGACTCTGGAATTAATGGCAGTAATTTTTCATACTGTACTGGGAAGCTAGGACAGCTTATTGTTGGTAGGCGGCTTTAGCAAGGTTGACAAAAATATTTTGTTTTGGAAGTTCAGGTTGCTTAAGGAATGTTGATTCCAATTTTTTCTCGTTTTGCATTTACTAATTGATAAATTTCAGTTGCACAAACTAGTAAATTATTATTGCTGATATGACTCTTTTAATCTACCATGTTGCGCTGATTAATGTATTGCTAGATAGGTATAATTAATTGCAGACTTGGTGCTTTTGTACACATTATTTTTATATTTTTTGACTTAGGCATCTTATCTTTTCCTTGTATTAAAAAACTGACAAGGCTTTCCTTGCTGATAGGTACTGATAGCTGCTCATCAGCCAGCTTATGAACTACGCTACAACCAGATGGAGTCCATCTTCCTCCCAGCAATTGATATGTATGGCCACTCCTTCCATCCTGAGAATCTGCAGAAGTTAATCCTTTCGGAAACTTCCATTTTCGATGTGTTACACGCTTTCTTCTACCACACTAATATGGCTGTGAGGATGGCTAGCTTAGAGGTAAGGGCAGTTTATTGCCTAGTTTGGCACAAGTTTTGTTAACCTTGCATTTTCTTCATAATTAGAAAGTACTTATGTACTGTATATTTTAAGCTGAGTTTTCTAAATGTCACATTGTTTTAATTATTAATTTCTTATCTCCAAGGTTTATGTCCGCCGTGCATACATCAGCTATGACTTGACTTGTCTGTGCCATAAAGAATTACATGGAGGAGTTTGTGTAGTGTTTTTCAAATTTTTACTTCCATCCTCACATCCCAATCGGTAAGCTCAAGTGTAAAAAATAAGTCTGAGGATAAAATGTGACTGTTGTTGATCATTATGAAGCTGTGTGCAAGAGAGCAAAAAAGAGGAAGAAAGCCTCTAGTGATTGTCAATATTTTTTTCTTCTAAGCTTTCACTTTTATAGAATGTCTGGGCTGATCGGCTTCAAATTTCCAGTCCTGGTGTGTTGTATCTGGAAAAGGGTTCATGTTATTGGGATGTACAGGTGTCGTTTTTGCCATTTTATACACCCAGAAGTTATTTTGGTTTCTGTGTTATAACATTAAGGCACTTCTGATTGGCTTCAAACTTTCAGTGCAGGTGCATCCTAGGTAGGAAAATATTTGGATTTGGATTGAAATTTGTAGATGCTAATTCTTTAATTTTAATAATAAAATTTTGTGGCTTTATTTTCTGGGAGGTAATTTAAAAAAGCATCTTATGAACAGCTTCAAGCTTTAAGCTGAATCACCTAATGAAAAGGAAGATCCATTATAAATTAATAAGATGTGTATGCTCAATTGATAATTTTCTGACAGTCAGTAAAATCAGGATGTGCAGTTACTGGAGAATGACTTTTCTGATTGACTTAAAACTTCTGGCAATGGTGGGATTTGCATAAAGGAAGCTTTATGTTGATTTTGGCCTGTGTAAGTTTAATTTGTAAATAGCTGATTTTAATGTGCAATAGCTAGAAAATCTTTTGTTCTCATCAGCTTCAAATCTTAGTTAAATGCTGTTATATGCTAGAAGCTTATGTAGTGTAAGTCCAGAGTTATTCTGCAGCTTTGTTCATCATTTGAGGCCTCACTTAGATTGAATGGCTCTATATCCATACTGCAAAATGGATATAATAACCATTCTGAGTGGCTTTAGAATCCATACTACAGAATGGATATAAATGTGTTGGAGAACGTGAAGAAGGATGAGAAAATTGATCCACCGTATGAGGAATGTTACGTACAAAGGTGAATTGAGAATCCTGAATCTACGTGTTCTTGAAAGATGCTGAGAGTAGATATGACAGAAGTATTCATGCAGAAGACAGGTTTAAATAAAGAAATGGAACAGAATTTTTCCTCTGTAAGACCATGCGTGTTGTAAGAGGCGACTAAAATGCCGGGAGCAAGGGGCTAGTAACCCCTTCTCCTGTATATATTACTAAATTTGAAAGGAGAAACTTTCGTTTTTCCTTTTGGGCCACCCTGCCTCGGTGGGATACGGCCGGTGTGTTGAAAGAAAGAAAGATTTATAAATACTGTATTTGCTCTGAACTGTTGTATCTATGCACCTCTGGCAAGACAATGATAATGTGAATGATGGTGGAAGTGTTTCTTTTTCGAGTCACCCTTCCTCGGTGGGAAACACCCAGTGTGTTAAAAAAATTAAAAAAATATGGACAAATTTGATTTAATGTAAAGTCTGTTAAATCCAAAATTAATTAAGCCAGCAGGCAGTAAGACTAATGAACAATTCTGGATTTAACGAAGTTTGTCCATTGCATCAGAATGTTGCCCAGCCACAGATTTTGTCTATTAAATCTGAAATCCATTAAATTAGTGTGTTAAATTGAGGTTTTGCAGTACTGTAATACTTATAAATATAGATTTTTTTTACAATGCATTTGTGGAAATTACATTTTCCCCTACACTTTCCAGAATTCCTCACAATAAGATGTGGAGCACATTGGAATATACTGACCCACACCATACTCCAATTGATTCTCCAGCTAACTTGGAGAACTGCCAGCGCATGGGTATTATGGCTACCTTCAAGAACTTTGAAGACTTTGAGATATACTTTAGTGATCTGATGAATTTCTTTCAACCTTGTGATTTTGGAGGGCTAGAGGGAGAGATGAGCCCACAAGAAATGCATAGTGGATCCATTAGGCTTGGATCTTCTTTTAAGGATTTCATGTGCGATTCGAAGGTATGTTTCAGAAAACTGTTCCGTATAAAATCGTTGTTGATAATATGAAAATATTGGTAGTGTTACCGACAGTATGTTGGGTGAAAGGACGTAAGTGACATTTTATTGTGGCAACATTTCACTCTCCAGGAGCATAACAGCTTGACAAAGCTCCTGGAGAGCAAAACGTTGCAACAATAAAATGCCGCATTAGTTGTACTTGTGTTCTTTTACCTAATGGTTGTTGATAGGCTTCTATGGCGGTTAGCATTACTGCATTCATGTCACCCTTTTAGTAGCTTGTTTATAATATAATTAATAATAATAGTAACAATAACTCTCCATGGGGAAGTGGAACAGAATTCTTCCTCTGTAAGCCATGCATGTCGTAAGAGGCGACTAAAATGCCAGGAGCAAGGGGCTAGTAACCCTTTCTCCTGTATACATTACTAGAGTTAAAAAGAGAAACTTTCATTTTTCTTTTTGGGCCACCCTGCCTTGGTGGGATATGGGCTGGTTTGTTGGAAAAAAAAAAGATAAAAATGAAAAGACACAATACTGTGACTGGAACAATATGCAAATAACCACACACATAGAAGAAAGAAACTTATGACTACATTTCAGTCTGACTTGGACCATTAACTAGTCATGAACTAATAACTAGTTTATGGTGTAAGTCAGACCAAAACGTCATCAGTCATCATAAGTTGCGGGTTATTTGTATATAGTTCTTGTTTGGTTTTCTATATATGTCATAATGTACAGAATAGGTTTTGGTGTTTTTTTGTGAGGCACTAGTTAATTTGTCTGTAACATACATCCTGATCTCAAGCACAACATTTATATTGCTTCCAACCTTCTTGCTGCAGCATTTTGGACCCTGCCTTACAATCATACAGAAGCACTGGAACTATTAGACTCTCATACATCCCTTGCATTGTATTTATTGACAGACTTTTTCCACAGATTCTTCAATACTACTGCCATTTTCATTACTCCATTTATTCTATGATTTACCTTATCCTTTATAATCAACCTGTTAATAAACATCCAGGCCCAGTACAAGCAGTTTATACATTCACTTTTCCCATATGTCTTTCATTCCCTCTGCTTCTTTTAATAGGGTTTTAGAATTTAAATCAAGATTACAAAGAAAAGGGGAACATTGTGAAAATGATATTGGCAATACTAAATTTAAATAACATGCTCAGGTTTGTTATATTATTTCTCTAATTCATTATTGTAATTTTAGGAGACTAAGGACCCCATACACATCATGAATATTGGTATACGCATGGAAGAAGAAGAGAAAGATGACTCCGTGCTAAGTGAACAGTTTGCAGTTTTCTGTGCTAGTAAGAAGAAAGAATTCCATGAAGCAGGTATTCGGCGCATTACAATGGTTGTGTTTTACAAGCAGCAGTTTCCAAGATACTTCACTTACAGGTGGGCATTTTTTTTTTTAACATTGGCTCTCCCTTTACCAAGGCAAGGTGACCTGAAGAGAGAAAGTTAAGCATTTATCATCATTCATTCAGTAACTGTCATGCTGGATGTATGCGGACACTACAGTTCAATAACCCTCTGAACTGTAACATCTCTACCCATCTTTTTTTATTTTTTATGGTTGTGCTTCTGAGATGCTTATTTATTTCCATGCCTAAATCACTGAATTGTGTTTAATTTTTTTTTTTTTTTTCAACAAGTCGGCCGTCTCCCACCGAGGCAGGGTGACCCAAAAAAGAAAGAAAATCCCCAGAAAGAAAATACTTTCATCATCATTCAACACTTTCACCACACTCACACATTATCACTGCTTTTGCAGAGGTGCTCAGAATACAACAGTTTAGAAGCATATACATATAAAGATACACAACATATCCCTCCAAACTGCCAATATCCCAAACCCCTCCTTTAAAGTGCAGGCATTGTACTTCCCATTTCCAGGACTCAAGTCCGACTATATGAAAATAACCGGTTTCCCTGAATCCCTTCACTAAATATTATCCTGCTCACACTCCAACAGATCGTCAGGTCCCAAGTATCATTCGTCTCCATTCACTCCTATCTAACACGCTCATGCACGCTTGCTGGAAGTCCAAGCCCCTCGCCCACAAAACCTCCTTTACCCCCTCTTTCCATTTGCATTGAAAAAATACAATTTTTTATCTTTTCCGCCTTTCTTTATTCTTTTTTTTTTCAGCTCACTGGCCATCTCCCACTGAGGCAGGGTGACCTAAAGAGAAAAGCAAATGTTTTCCTTTTTACTTGTAGTAATTTTATCTAATTTTATAAGGGCTTATTTTTTCAAGATATTATACTGTGTGTCTATATAGGTCAAGGGACGAATTCCAGGAGGATCGAATCTACCGTCATTTAGAGCCTGCACTTGCTTTCCAACTGGAAATCAACCGGTTGCGGACTTACGACCTGGAAGCCCTTCCAACTTCAAACCGCAAGATGCATTTGTATCTAGCCAAAGCCAAGGTATGTTATGCTTTATCTACAATTAAAATTATGTATTGGAGAATTATATGACACACCCGTGTCAAAGCCAGTAAATCTTTCTGTAAATTTCTCCTTTTTTTTATCATTAAATATGTATGTTGATATTCTTTTTAGTAATCTTTACAGGAAAAGGGGTTACTAGCCCATTGGGGTAGGGGTCGTCCTCGAAAGGGTTGGAAAGAGGGGGTAAAGGAGGTTTTGTGGGCGAGGGGCTTGGACTTCCAGCAAGCGTGCATGAGCGTGTTAGATAGGAGTGAATGGAGACGAATGATACTTGGGACCTGACGATCTGTTGGAGTGTGAGCAGGGTAATATTTAGTGAAGGGATTCAGGGAAACCGGTTATTTTCTTATAGTCGGACTTGAATCCTGGAAATGGGAAGTACAATGCCTGCACTTTAAAGGAGGGGTTTGGGATATTGGCAGTTTGGAGGGATATGTTGTGTATCTTTATACGTATATGCTTCTAAACTGTTGTATTCTGAGCACCTCTGCAAAAGCAGTGATAATGTGTGAGTGTGGTGAAAGTGTTGAATGATGATGAAAGTATTTCTTTTTGGGGATTTTCTTTCTCTTTTGGGTCACCCTGCCTCGGTGGGAGACGACCAACTTGTTGAAAAAAAAAAAAAATGTATGTTGATACTTTAGATGTTATGTTGGGATTGCAGATTGTGTGCATTATCTAAAACCTTCTTTGGGTCACCCTACTATGGTGGGAGCCAGCCAGTGCATTAAAAAATATCCAAGGTTAATTAAATTTTTATAATTTGTTTCTATAAAAAAAAGAAAATTGTCAGAAATTGTCAGGTGAGTGATGCACTTAGGAGTCTGTGGAGACAAAGAAATTTGTCCATGGAAGCAAAGAGGGAATGTATGAGAGTATAGTTATACCAACACTCTTGTATGGGTGTGAAACATGGGTGGTGAATATTGCAACAAGGAGAAGGCTGGAGGCACTCTAGATGTCATGTCTGAGGGCAATGTGTGGTGTGAATATAATGCAGAGAATTCGTAGTTTGGAAATTAGGAGGAGGTGCGAGATTACCAAAACTATTATCCAGAGGGCTGAGGAGGGGTTGTTGAGGTGGTTCGGACATGTAGAGAGGGTGGAACAAAATAGAATGACTTCGAGAGTGTATAAATCTGTAGTGGAGGGAAGGCGGGGTAGAGGTCGGCCTAGGAATGGCTGGAGGGAGGGGGTAAAGGAGGTTTTGTGCGCAAGGGGCTTTGACTAATAGCAAGCATGCGTGAGCATGTTAGATAGGAACGAATGGAGATAAATGGTTTTTAGGACTTGACATGCTGTTGGAGTGTGAGCAAGGTAACATTTATGAAGGGAGTCAGGGTAACCAGCAGGCTGGACTTGAGCCCTGGAGATGGGAAGTACAATGTCTGCACTCTGAAGGAGGGGTGTTAATGTTGCAGATTTATAACTGTAGTGTAAGCAGACGTCTGGTAAGACAGTGATGTAGTGAATGATGATGAAAGTTTTTCTTTTTTCGGCCCACCCTGCCTTGGTGGGAGAAGGCCGATGTGTTAATGAAAATAAATAAAATTTGGTAAGTGAAATGCCATGTCTGGAGGTAAGTAATCTCCACATAATTAAGGAATTTTGATGTAGTGTATTGTGCCTGCTGGTATAAGTAGCCCAGAGGGGAAGTGGAGAAGAATTCTTCCTCCATAAGCCATGCGTGTCATGAGAGGTGGCTAAAATGCTGGGAGCAAGGGGCTAGTAACCCCTTCTCCTGTATATATTACTAAATGTACAAGGAGAAACTTTCGTTTCTCCTTTTGGGCCACCCCGCCTCGGTGGGATACGGCCGGTGTGTTGAAAGAAAGAAGAAAAAGGAAAACTTTTGTTTTTCTTTTTAGGTCACCCTGCCTCGGTGGGATACGGCTGGTTCGTTGAAAAAAATTTGAATATTTGAATTTCAGAGCGTTATACCAGAGCACAGCTCTAGGTTGTGAAATACTGTATATGTTTACTGACTGGTTTTCTTTGATGTGTACACATTACCAAGGAGGTTACTCAGGGGTGATGAGGTTGCATGATGATCCCATGTTGATGATGAATTGTATTGATGTTCTGGATGTTCTTTCACAGGTAGCTGATGGTCAAGAAGTAACAGACTTCCGCTTTTTCATCCGCTCCATTATCCGCCACTCTGACTTGATCACCAAGGAAGCTTCTTTTGAATATCTGGAGAAGGAAGGGGAGAAACTCTTGTTAGAAGCAATGGATGAGCTAGAGGTTGCATTTTCCCACCCCTTGGCAAAGCGAACTGACTGCAATCATGTCTTTTTAAATTTTGTCCCAACAGTTATCATGAACCCATCAAAGGTGAGCCAGGAATTCTTAGTTTGAATAATACACACTCTGAAATTTATTATGAAATTTATTAAGATCTTTGTAGTACTATATATATACTCTTTACTCTGAAATAGGAATCCAAACTCTCTCAGAAAAATGTATTTTTTCTCAAGTGTTATAATTTGATTACTATGAATAGTTTCCATATCATTTTACTGCGTAAATTTAATATTGTACCTGCACATTCTATAGAGAGAGTCAGAAAATTTGGCACATTAAAAAATACAGTAGAAAAATATTAGTTAATACAAATAAACATCAGATGAACACAGTTGTGTTGCAGAAATGTAACTTTTCTTGTTGAACAGTAAGTTTGCTTATCTTACAAATTCAGGTTATATTTAAAGTGACAAGACAGACAGTGTTGATGGAGCTGATGAGTACAGTACCCATTTAGAGTCAAGTTGGGTGGTTGAGAAAAAGGCTAAATAAGACACAGTTTTGCTCACTTCAGCTGTCTTGCTCTCTCTTGTTTTACATATGTTAATGAAAACACTGTGGGAAGACTGGAATTACACACAGCAAACGGTATTGTGTTTTACCACAGTACAGTTTGTTGGTATACGTGTATTTATATTTTTGTCACCACCAGATGTATCATCTTAACATGAACAAGATACCAATGTACATGTATATGGAATAATTTGTTTTTGCTTCAGGGATATTTTGGGCAGTTTAGATTTTGAGATAAGAGTTTTTAATGAGACACTTCATCGTGCTTGCTTCTATTAAATATTTTTTCGATAACACTCTGCATTCTCTAGACAATTTGATTTGTAATTGTTCTTTTTGTTATCCCAAAATTTGAATGGGTATTGATAATAAACACTAATAAATAGTGTAAATTTGATATAAGTTGCACATATGCTGCAACAAGACCACAGTAAACAGATGATATCACAGTATGCAAAACAACCACTGTGAAACAATAATGAATTTTCAAGCATTTTTGTGATTTCTCATATTACCAAGGACATGTAAAAATAACAAAACAGTAGAAGGCTTATAAGGCTGAGATATCACCTCACATAGGTGATATCTCAGCCTGGATGTTCATTATAAACACTGAGGGACAGGTGTGAATTTGAAGGTATTTCAGGGATGTATAATTGGTGCTTTTGATATTATGATCGTAATAAAACATTAAAGATTTCATTTCTTAAATATTCAATATAATGTAACTTTTAAATAATTTTCAGATTGAAGATTCAATACGATCAATTGTCAATCGTTATGGGCGTCGGCTTTGGAGCTTACGTGTTCTACAAGCTGAAATTAAAATGACAATTCGTCAGACCCCTCAGAGCAAGACTATTCCCATTCGGTTAACTCTTTCTAATGAATCTGGATATTACCTGGACATGCACTTATACCGTGAAGTCACAGACAAACTAACAGGACAGGTAAGAGGTCATATTTTTATAAGTAACTTGTATATTTAATTTCTTAATTCATGTTTTATGTAATTTATTTCAGTAAAACTATTTTAAGCTTGTGTAAACATCAACTGTGGTACTCTTTATATCATTTAGTTTTGATATGCATTTAATTAAGATTTATTGTATCTGAAAATACTACTGATTTTTCATATCTAAATAGCATATTAATAATTGGTTGTATGTCAGCAGTGTGAGCCTTATTTGTGCATAATATAATAGGTATCCATTCAGCCATTTCTTTGAAAGGTATACTAAACCTACTTTCACCAGTTTATAGTTGCTTGCTCAGTTTTTTAAATCAAGGGGCCATCTTCTTCCAAGGCAGGGTGACTCGAAGTATAATACACATTCACCATCATTTCACTCACCATACTGCATTTCCAAAAGTGTGCTGACATCATGATCAGATTTCCTTCTGATTTCAACATCCACATCCATTCTTCAGAGTGCATGCACTGCCCTTTTCACCTCCACACTCAAGTCCTGGCTAACTGGTTTTCCCAGAATCCCTTCATGAAAGTTACCCCCTCTTCACATTCCAGCAACATGTTCAGTGAAAACCACTTGTCTCCTTTCACTCCTATCTAACTCATGCACACACACAGTGTATTGCATCAGTTTTCAGTGATTCATTTTTTTGCATTGTTGCATTCCTCGTTTTGTTTTCTCATTTTGTCTTAGATTTTAATATATTCTTATCAGTATTTTAGGGCCCTCCGTATTACAGATTGATTTTGACTTAGCTGAACAAGTTGTTACCATTGCTCTTTCCATTTTACAACTGTCATCATAAGTTGTTGTTTATGAGATTACACAAAGTCATTGTGAAGGCAGTTCATTTGTTCCTCTACCTGGCTCATTTTACCAAAGTAATGCTGCCTACTTATATGTAGCTAACGGTGCATAGATTTATTCGAAAGATTTTCAGATTCATTAGAATTGTATATTTTTTTTTCCAGTTTTGTGTTGTACCAGGTGAAAATGCCATACAGGTGCTGCATACTCTGGAATAAGTTGCAGTACAAGTTAGAGTGTGTTTTGACCATGCATTTTTCAGTGTTTCTGAATGCTTTGAACAGTTGCTAATAACTCGCTGACACTATTGCTTAAAGGATACATTTTTCTTTTTTCTTTTTTAAGCATACTGGTCTTCTCCCAAAGTAGGGTAATCTCTCCCTTTTCCCTTTCCCCTCCCAAACAAAAATGGCAAATCAAAATCATTCATTTGTGAGCTGCCCTACTGCACACTACAATGTCCCCTCACTCTCTTGCAGAGTGAAGGCACTGTACCTCCATTTCCTGGAAGTACGTACTGGTTTTCCTCAATCCTTTATAGATGTTACCTTGCCTTTCAACAGCATGTCAGTTTCATACAATCACTTGGCTCTACTCAGTCCTCTCTAATATGCTCGTATATGCTTGCTGGAAGCTACAGGCTCCTGCCCCACCTTCCTTAATCTTCCTGCTTTCCTTCCATTCCAGATTTGTATATCCTTGTTATCATCTGAGTCTTCTCCACCCTGTAAATGCCTAAACCACCTAAACAGCCAGTCCTCTGTCCTCCAAATAAACCTTTCCTATCCCCACACCATCTTCTATTTTTTTTTTTTTGTCCAACAAACCGGCTGTATCCTACCAAGGCAGGGTAGCCTAAAAAGAAAAACTAGAGTTTTTCTTTTTAAATTTAGTAATTTATACAGGAGAAAGGGTTACTAGCCCTTTGCTCCCAATATTTTAGTCGCCCCATCTTCTAATGTCTCTACTTAAATTCTTTGCAAAATCACACCACACTTTGCTGTCAAACATTGTATTTCTATGAATAGGTTCTCGTACACGGTCAGGTTTTAAAAATTTATCTGAGAGGCAGTGCACAAAATATGGAATTACACATTCCCATGCCTTTAGCAGTTATATACCTACTTTAGCTACATTTCTGAATAGGTTGACGATTGACGATAAAGTATGAGAAAGTTGTGTAGTGATGATTTTGACTGTGGCATAGCCACGAAAGCCTTCATGGATTTCTACAGCCTGGGGAAGCTAGCTGCTGACTCAGGCAGGGTACGTGTGAGCAGCTGTCAGTGCCGAGGTTTTCACAAGGGGTCCACCTGGCCTAATTGGGAACAATTGTTTCTGTTTATCTCTGGAGAAAACCTTGTTTCCTTTCCAATTTCACCCCAGATTTTGGCAATGTATTTTTTCTGGACTCTTGGGAAGCAGGGCTTAATAAAGCATAAGATGTGGTGGCCCCTCAAAACTCAAAAAAAAAAAAAAAAAAAAAAAAAAAAGTAAGAAAACATAAACAATGAAACACTAAAACAAAAAAAAAAAATTAAAATAAAACCAACCAACAACAGAACAATAACAAAACAATTTTGTAAAGACGGTGGTGGTTGCAGGTATTGCTGGCCACATTTTTATACAGTGTTGTAGAGGGCCACAACAACCCTCTCTGCACTCTTGCGTGAGAACAAGCAGCAACAGCCATTGGTACAATTTAATAAGGAAAATTGGCTTTTGTTTACTGATATTGACATTGCCTAGTGATGGTGGTGGTAACTCACACTGCTTGCCACATATTTGTATAATTATTGTACAGGGCATCAATGAACTCTCTTCACACAGTTGCATATCAGCAAGCAGCAGCAACAACTGCAATGTAAGGTTTGAAATTTTTTATTTTCAATGAATTACAAAATTAAAAAAACTTTTGGCTTTTTTGGGGGGTACTAGGAACCTGACCCTATTTTTCCCATTATGTTCTTCAGTCTGCATAACACAATTTCATGTAAAGCACATTTTTTCAGGAACATAACCTGCATGTTACTTGGGTTTCTACTGTGTATTTACTGTTGATATTGTAATGTTATTTTTTCATTGTAAGGTGTTACAAAGATAGGCTATGGTAGTCATTTCATATACAGAAATAGTTGCAAAAACATCAAGTTAGTCAGGTTTGCAATTAAACTACCACTTGCATGTACTGTAAATAAAAATAAAATATTAAAATGTCTGGGCTAACTCAAGGAAGTGTGTGTAACAAGGAGACTAAAAACTAATTCTATGAAGATAATATATGTAAAAAAATTTTAGGCAGTGCAAAAGATTTGTAAATGTTAATTACATATTTTGGAATGCTTTTAAAAATTTGACAAAATTTGGTAGGTTATCTGGTACTGGTACATTGGCAGTATATTTATTATTTATGGTTTACATCAATCGTATTATTTTATTTTTTTTTTTTGCCTACAATTTTGACAACTCATTGTGAAACCAATACCACCAGGTGAAATTTTCGGAATATAAGATTGAAGGTCCTCAACGGTCTCCATGTCACACAGCAATTTTCAACACCCGGCACCGTTACTCATCCCCTGCCAGAGGGGTCTTCACGGTATCTTTTCATTATGGTTTACTTTTGAGTGAATAGCATAGTTCTTCATGGCATGGGATAAGTAACAGTATATTGATTGTAATCTAGCATTTATAAAATTTTAATTATAGTAGTTAAGGGCACTAACACTGACATCAAATAATCTGGCTGTGAACTATTAACATAATCTAAGTAACTATTACAACAAACACTTGTAAGAAAAAAGACACCAGCACTCCTACCATCATGTAAAACAGTTACAGGCTTCCGTTTTACACTCACTTGGCCGGATAGTAGTACTTTCTTGGGTGGTTGCTGTCTACCAACCTTCTACCTAATCTGGAATTTCATTTGTATAATTCAGAAACAGTACTTGTGGAGATCCACTAGTTACTCTTTCCCATTCTGACATCTCTTTCCTGACAATCACTATTTGCTTCCTTCCCTTAAGATACTCTTCAATCCACCAGAGTACATTCCCTGTTATTCCTGCCTGAATCACAAGTTTTTGGCACAGTCTCTTTGGGTACAATATTAAATGTATCCTTGGAGTCTGTAAAAGATGCAATCCACCCAATCCTCTTCCCTGTCTCTTGTTGCACATTTGTTACTTTGTCATAGAACAACAAGTTAGTAAGACAAAATTTGCCATCCCTAAACCATTGTTAGTTATTATTTATGAAACCACTTCTCTCCAAGTGTTCTATCACTCTCCCCTGATAAGTTTCTCCATTACTTTGCAAGGTATGCATCTCAGAGAAACTGGTCTGTAGTTTATTGCCTCCTGTCTGTCTCCTTTCTTAAATATAGGGACTAAACTTACTGTCTTCCAGGTCTTTGGTGCTTATGATGCATGGAAGTCAGGGCATACAATTTGGAAGACTGGAATTACCAGTGGTATAATTCAAAGAACTGAGAAGAGGTTGTCAAGGTGGTTTGGGCACTTATAGGAAAGGGAACAAAATTAAATGACCAAGAGGGTGTATGATTCTGGGGTGTAAGGAAAGAGGGTAGGGATTGTCCTGGGAAGGGTTAAAGGGAGGAGATGGTGGTTTTGTGTGCTAAGGGCTGAAGCATCTACCAGGCTTATGTGAGCATGTTGGATCAGAATGAGTGGAGACTTGTTTTTTTTGACAAGTGTGGTGAAGTATGAGTGGGGTAATATTTATGAAAGGATTCAGAAAAACTGGTTAGCTGGAGAGTTGTGGAGTCAGGAGGTGCCTGCACTCTTGAGGAGAAGTAGGAATGTTGCAGTTTGGAGGGTCATTCGAATTGTGGTGTCTGCACTTCTGGCAAGACAGCTTTTGAATGATGGTGAATGTGTTTCCATTTTTTGTTCACCCTACCTTGGTGGGAGAAGTCCAGTGTGTTAAAAATGTTCCTGCTGAATATAGAAGCTCTGACCCCTTAATTTCTTAGTCAATCAGTTATATTTCACACAGACAAAAATTTCCAAAACTTATATAATATGATACTGTGTAGCATACCCCTTGGCTCTCACTATGGAATCATTAGTGTTTAGGTATGTTTCTCAGTCACCAACACCATACCCTTACCACTGAAGCACATAGCTTTTCTTTGCCTTACTACTACAACTGTCGTAATGAATATAAAACATCAAGCCTCCATAAATTTATCCAAGTTTTTCATGTACCTGTTGCAGTAAAGTCTTAGAACTTGGGGACTCAAAGTGAACAGTGCCATTCTGTATAAAAATAATGTTGGGAAAATTATTGGTTATAATTCTAGTAGATGTTTTTAAGGGTTTCTGTTTTTTTTATAGAATATTATTTTGTGTGTGTGCTTTTTCTTTCCTCTTCAGTAGGGTTATAATTTTGTGTGTAACATAACTCATGAATTGGTGAAAAAAATATATGTTTTGGTATTTGGTTGCTTTGGGAGCAGTAATTTTAGTTATTGAAAGACTTGTCATGAGTAACATTAGTCTAGGTGGTTTTGCTGTGTGTAATGTAGTTACTTTAGTTTTGTTTTCGTATTTAGCAGGTTCTCATTTATATGTAGGTACATACATAGTTTCTAAAAGTTTAATTTCTTTTATGTCTAATTAACACACTCATTTTTATGTATTTTAAACTGGTTTTTTTTTTTCTCTCAACAAATTTTGTTATTTTTTAATAGTTTTGTATATTCTTATCAGTTACATTTTTTTTTTTTTGTCATGAAATCCTCATGTTCATATATTTTCTGATCAACATATCCATTAACTTGACCATACACTAGTTAAGATAAGATAAGATTTTGTTTGGATTTTTAACCCCGGAGGGTTATCCACCCAGGATAACCCAAGAAAGTCAGTGCATCATCGAGGACTGTCTAACTTATTTCCATTAGGGTCCTCAATCTTGTCCCCCAGGATGCGACCCACAGCAGTCGACTAACACCCAGGTACCTATTTGCTGCTAGGTGAACAGGACAACAGGTGTAAGGAAATGCGTCGAAATGTTTCCACCCGCCGGGAATCAAACCTGAGCCCTCCGTGTGTGAAGCGAGAGCTTTAACCACCAGGCCATTATGTAGTTTATGAGTCTTCATATCAATACATTGTATATTCTTAACCTAACAGAATTTAATGCATAAATGAGTTCTTGTTTTAGTGCCTCCCCATGAATTTACTAATAATGAATGATAATAATAACAATAGCAATACTAATACTAATAATAATAATAACAACAGCAATATTAATAATAGTAATAATAATAATAATAATTATTCTCCTTTTTGGAGACTAAATCTCTCCTTCAACTAATTCATAATAATCATGGGCTCAGTTTTACCAAAACTAACATTTTGGTTGGGTCCACGTTGATGCGGACGCATACCATACTATGGTGTGATAAGACTTACTCAAGGGCCAGCTTGCCAATTAACCTCATACAAAAACAGCATAAATATTTGTGATAAAGGGTTTTGAAAGCCAACAAGTTGAAGATTGAGACACTTGTGCAACATATGGGAATCTTTATTAAGCAAACGTTTTGCCACACAATAGCTTCCTCTGTTCGATACAAAGCAGAAAGTGTGGTGAGACGTTTCCTTAACAAAGATTCCCATATGTTGCATATGTATCTCAGTCTTCAACATAAATATTCATTCATTCTTAATAAGCTACTGCTATTTGGGTTTGTTTATTCCCACAGTCTCACAATCAGTTTATCTGTTCATCTTCTCGCCCTTATTCTCATTGGTCTTACCTTCCTCCTACCCTCAGATTGGTGCATACTACATGGTATTTATATTTTTCACTGCTGTCATCATGGCATACCATTTTTGCATTAGCATTCTATTTTAGCTTAATCATTCTTTTTAACATACTATTTTGGCTTAATCATTCTTATTATTATACTATTTTTAGCTTAATAATTCTTATATAATACATTTTTGTACTGAGATTTCTTCCATGATATTATCATAACTTATTCCATTTGTCCTGACAATTTATGTATTTCTCAACTCGTCCACTTTTTTGCATTGAATCATTCTGTCATGCTCGTACCACACCAGCATTGCACATCTGGAATTAGTCTTGGAATGACCACTCCTTCCTTATGCTTTCAAATGGCTTGTATATTTCTTTTACTGTCTTGTTCTTCACAATCAGGGGGTTTCTTTACACCAGCCTCTGTTCTTTTCTTGCACAAATTCCTCATTAGTTGTGCATCCCAAACATTCAGACTAAATAAGCTTCGGTTCTCCATTCACCTTGATTTTACACTTGCATTCTCTCTCTCTCTCATTGACAGTTTACCATTTTATATTAAATTTTGGTTATTTCTCTCACACAATATCTTTTTTAAATATTTGTGGCTTTCTCTCTCACAAAACTGTCTCATCTACATGCATCATTATTGGTTCATTTATTCTTTTATGTTACTCTCACCCTGAAACCTTTTAACTCCATCCATGCACTATATATTATATTCCTAGATATTTTATGTGTGATAATTGTGTAAAGTAATTTCCTGTATGTACTTCTTACAAAAATGCCAGAAACCATGCTGTTGATATTTTTCTATTGCATGGTGGAACTAAGTCTCTGTATTTTATTATGAAATAATTTATTTCTTTGATAACCTCAACTTTTATTTCTGATATATTACACTATGTTTTCATATGGTATTTCTATATTGTTTCTGTTATTATAAATCTTTTTTTCCTTGCAATCTCTTTTCATTCACTATAATTTTGGTATCAAGTTTCAAATTAAGTTAATCATTGCATGACCAAAATTATGAAGAATTTCAGCAGTATTTAATTGTTCTAGAATGAGATTAAACATTTTGGAGTAAAGAATTGAGAAAGACCTTACTGTACAGTGCTACCCTGGTAGAAAGTGAAATGCAGTTATGTCGAACCTGTACTGATGACATTTTGCCCACTGTGGAGAGGGGAAGCATAACATTGTCAGTGATGATTCCTTGTAACTACATTTCTCTCTTCCATCCTGTGGATTTCTTGATCCATTACCAACCCATAGTACTACAGTGCCTGAGAGACTAATATGTATAAAAAAAAAGTACCGCCAGATCGTCTCAGACATTGTATTATATGATGCTTATTGTATTCTTACATGCCAAAAAAGATAAGTCATGTTTTTATCTACTCTCTTCTCTTTACCTACACTACCTCTGTTTAAGGACATCTTTTTTTCAAAGGTAGGTATTACCTGATGCATAAAACCTGGCAGTATGAACATACATGAATATTTCCATTGGTGTCATTTGCATTTTGGGTCCATAGCCTGACTTCCATTGTTGATATTATCCTCATGTCTGATCATTCTGATTATCCAGTAAAATATAGTTCTTATACTGTGCTATTACTCTTACCTATAATATTTTTAAAATTTCTATTTCATGCATAGAATGAACATGTTAATGCAACCAAACTCTTCTATAACCTTCAACACTGTCTATCAGATCCTGACTTACACCTTACACTTTAGTCTGAATTGTTTTGAACTTTTCTTAATTTATTTCATCATCAGGAAAGTACTTTTCTCTGACTTTTTCCTTTCTGTTCTGCCAGTGTGTTTGTAAGTGGCTGAAGGCTTGTATGTATCCCAGGGCTGCATTAGTTTACTACTGTATTGAAAGACTTTGCAGGCTCAAGTCTTGCCTTCACTCACTATCAGTGGCATTCATTCGTACACATAAACCATTCTTTACCTAGTCTTTAAAACACTTGTCACGTATCATAATCATCAAGTTATTTGTGGTGTACGGGTGGTGGTGGTGTTGTATCAGAAATGAGCGTAGTATTAGTAATAGAAAGGAATGAGAAAGAGGAAAGTTTACAGATAATGTGAGATGATAGGATAAACCTGAGGTTGATATAGTGTAGTATTAAAGAAATGTGTATGGTTTTATATGTGGGGAGGAGGACTGATCATAGGATCCTAAGGTGGATTTATTAGACTTAAGTTCAAGGAGTATAAGTGTTGCTGGGATAAAATTTGGGAAGGGTAAAGGGCAAGAATCATTGTTGGGAAGATCTTATGAGGTAAATTATAACTGGATGGATAAATATGTTTAGATTGATGATTCTTAGATTGGTTTTCTGTTACTACAACTCAGAGTGAGGTAATTGAAGTTAACTGGAAAAAAAAAAATTAAGTGTTGTCATATACCACACAAGTTCACAGAAGTGTAATTGGTGTTTATCATAATTTGGAAAATACTCTTGAACAGCTAATACTCTGGTGATGAATGCAGTACAATTTTTCAATATCATATAACTTGTGGAATAACCTCAAAATGTGCATAATGTATGTGTGTGTGTGTGTGTGTGTGTGTGTGTGTGTGTGTGTGTGTGTGTGTGTGTGTGTGTGTGTGTGTGTGTGTGTGTGCGTGTGTGCGTGTGCACGTCTGTGTGTAGGTATGTTTCTTTGCCTCTCTTGTTTGGTCTTGCCTTTTTGTTTTAAGCTAAGAGGCAGAGCTGTAAGCTTTCACCTGTATTTGAAGACATCCTCAGGGAAGGGGCCAGTTGTTAGGAAAAGAGTTATGGGCCTGAGGTGCCTTCAAATGCCAACAGGAGTCAACATACGAATACCAGCCCTGGTGTTCACATGTTGACTCCTGTTGGCATTTGAAATTAACTTTTTCACTTGTGTTTTGTTACATAATGGTGCATATATTGTTTATAAATTACAGAGTTTTCAATTCCATTATTTGGGTTCATAAAATTATTAAATTTTATCATTTGCTGTATTATAGGCAAGAGCTCTACCTTTCAGTTTACTGTGGGACTTAATTCTTTTCACCATGGTACCAGTGTGGTTAATATCTTATTGTAATGTGTGTACCCTTGTTCTAAAGCTAATATTTGCCTACTAATTTAGTGCAGATTAATAATTTGTTATATTGTACTACTCATAAAAGTATTTTTCTTCTCATAATTTTTCTAATTTTGTATTTTTGTGGTGTACAGATTAAATTTGAAGGCTTTGGAGTTCGCCAAGGACCTCTACATGGTTTGCCTATCTCAACACCATACATGACTAAGGATTACCTGCAGCTTAAGAGATTCCAAGCGCAGACCAATGGAACAACTTATGTTTATGATTTCCCCGAGATGTTTCGTCAGGCCCTTGAAAGAGTGTGGGAGGAGTATCTTGTTGAACGAGGTACAGTATTTGCCCAACTGACAGACTAATACAGGATTGTATTGTCTTAGGTATGTGTTAGATGAGTGTGTTAAAACTAATTTCCTTACTGTGTAGGACAGTAAGGAAATTATTATATACTAATCTCTCAATTTGGAATTTTCATGTTCTGAATTCTCTGAAGTACAATATAGGTTTTCGAATTTAAACTTGGAATGATATCTGCATTTCAGAATTATCTGAATATGAGGGAAAACTCAATATTACAAATTTGACTGCTGAGTAATACATAGCAAGTGGCAATGTAATTTTTGGGCTAACCAACTCTTCTTCCTCCCCACCTTCCAGTAGCTGGTGTGTCTGTCATAATACAGAAGAGCATAACTTTTATTTTATATTTTGCCGCATTTGGTTATTTACTCACCAAGTACATTAACAAGATGTTAAATGAGATAATGTTGAGGTCAGTATATTTGTATTTGCCAACAGATATATATTTATAATATAATGCTTTGATTCCTCAGGATCTTTCCTTAGTGGTACGGCTGCATTTAGACACCAGTCCAAACATTTTATCATAGCTGTTTCCTACCCAGGCATAGTGACTAAAATAAAAAAAAATGATTTTGAGACAAAGAAAAGGTTAATACATATTCCTGTCAGAATGCAAAATATTTGACTGGCTTCCATTTCAAATTTGCATGACAGGATGATAGTACCTCCATGGGTGGTTGTGTTCTACTTACATATAACATTTAATTTATATTAAATAGTAAAGACTAAGGAAATACTTTGTAACACTAAAAAATTTCTTTTGTTGCTTCAAAAATGAAGGATTTGCCTTGCAGTGAGAAACAAAAGTGTGTGAAAGTATTTGAGAATTTCCATGGCTAACATACTGTTGGAAAAGTAGCAGGAAAAACATGTGAAAAGATTGAAAGACCTGAGTATTGGAAAAAAAAATTGGGAATGGGAAGTTATTCACAGAAAGGGCAGTGTGATTGTGGAGTTAATTTAGTAGAGAACCAAATGGTGTTGCAGTGTAGCCATTGCATGAAGACTTACCAAGTAACTGAAGGCTAACCTTTCCTTACTTCCTGACACAGTAGTACTTCTGCATAATTGTTGCGGCCCCCTGCCAAACTAGCGGTTAAATAGTTAACCTGCCGGCCGGCAGTACCACTGGGTACGTCATCAAACCCAATGTGGGGACTGCTGAGCCGGCCTTAGAGCAGTAAGTTCCTGAGTGCCTCACGGTGCACATCTAAGCAGTAGGTACCTGACCACCTAAGGGTACAGTCTACTGGCTTTAGTAACAGTATGTACCTGAGCGCCTCAGGATACGCACCTAAGCAGTAGGTACCTGCACACCTAAGGGTACACGTCTACTGGCTTCAACATTAAGTACCTGAACTCCTCAGGGTACACATCTACGTAGTAGGTACCTGACCACCTAATCGTACCTATCTACTGGCGTTAGAAGAACCGCTCACCGCAGCTCACTGAGTCTGTTGGCCTCAGTTACTTGACGGCCGCATTCAGTGAGCTTGCAGCATGGTGTTCGGCTAGCGGTGTGTCAACCGGCTTTGGAGAGGATTTACTGGACTACCGGTGATGTCTGTGGACTCACCGTCTACGTTGATCAACTGTGGGCCGGAATCATCAGATGCTGTTTGGTGGGACATTACATGAAGAAAAGGTTGGAGTGTTACACTGAACTGGCCAGGACCGTAGTGTGACACTTAGGAACGTATGATGGAGTGGAACACTGAGATATGCACAGGACCGTAGTGGAACACTGAGATGAAAAGGGTGTCGTGGACACTGAAGATGGCCTGGTTGTAGTGTACACTGAATAGTGTCATGTGACTGGTCTCGTGTCGTGAGAAGCAGTTGATTGTAATTTATTATTATACAAATGTTACTTAATTTATTATTTTAGCATAGAGAGATATATATATATAGTGACAGTAGTGTCAAGAGTTGTACCCTGTGTAGGGTTATGAATTATTTATTATTTTAGTAAAATGCTGATTATAATTTATTATAGTAACATGTACATATTATATATCATAGTTCAAATACCTCTAGACCAAAGATAGTTGATTTATATATATTAAAGATTAATTGATTTTAATGTGTGTATTTATGTATCCCGAACTCTTTATTACAAAAGGAGTAAATCTTAATACCATCTTAATAAAATTACTTTTTTTGTAATATATGGGGGCCCGTCCGGGATGATAATGATTATCTAGAATGATTTCTGGATGATCATATCCGGGATGACGGTTCGGGATACACATTACATTGATCTTTGTGTCTCGGTCCTTTTGTGGTGGGGGTGTTGCGGCCCCCTGCCAAACTAGCGGTTAAATAGTTAACCTGCCGGCCGGCAGTACCACTGGGTACGTCATCAAACCCAATGTGGGGACTGCTGAGCCGGCCTTAGAGCAGTAAGTTCCTGAGTGCCTCACGGTGCACATCTAAGCAGTAGGTACCTGACCACCTAAGGGTACAGTCTACTGGCTTTAGTAACAGTATGTACCTGAGCGCCTCAGGATACGCACCTAAGCAGTAGGTACCTGCACACCTAAGGGTACACGTCTACTGGCTTCAACATTAAGTACCTGAACTCCTCAGGGTACACATCTACGTAGTAGTTACCTGACCACCTAATCGTACCTATCTACTGGCGTTAGAAGAACCGCTCACCGCAGCTCACTGAGTCTGTTGGCCTCAGTTACTTGACGGCCGCATTCAGTGAGCTTGCAGCATGGTGTTCGGCTAGCGTGTTGTCAACCGGCTTTGGAGAGGATTTACTGGACTACCGGTGATGTCTGTGGACTCACCGTCTACGTTGATCAACTGTGGGCCGGAATCATCAGATGCTGTTTGGTGGGACATTACATGAAGAAAAGGTTGGAGTGTTACACTGAACTGGGCCAGGACCGTAGTGTGACACTTAGGAACGTATGATGGAGTGGAACACTGAGATATGCACAGGACCGTAGTGGAACACTGAGATGAAAAGGGTGTCGTGGGACACTGAAGATGGCCTGGTTGTAGTGTACACTGAATAGTGTCATGTGACTGGTCTCGTGTCGTGAGAAGCAGTTGATTGTAATTTATTATTATACAAATGTTACTTAATTTATTATTTTAGCATAGAGAGATATATATATATAGTGACAGTAGTGTCAAGAGTTGTACCCTGTGTAGGGTTATGAATTATTTATTATTTTAGTAAAATGCTGATTATAATTTATTATAGTAACATGTACATATTATATATCATAGTTCAAATACCTCTAGACCAAAGATAGTTGATTTATATATATTAAAGATTAATTGATTTTAATGTGTGTATTTATGTATCCCGAACTCTTTTATTACAAAAGGAGTAAATCTTAATACCATCTTAATAAAATTACTTTTTTTGTAATAATAATCTTAATGTGCAAAATTTTTCCCAGGTGGAGGTAATCTTCCCAATCATCTCATGAACTTAGTGGAATTAGTCTTGGACCAGGATGACCAGTTAGTGGAGGAGAAGAGGCTCCCTGGTGAAAATAATGTAAGTAAAAAAAGTTGAGAAACTTACGGTGGATATGCAGTTAGGTTCACCCATGATGGTTTTTCATAAATGAACTGTCAAAAGTGTATCTAATAATGTGATTTACTTAGTCTGCGTTTGACCTTGAAATCTTTGTTTAGTAGGTAATAAGGAAGGAGAACATGTGTAATAAATTTGAATTATTTCGTATGAATTATAGAAGAGAAGGAATTTGCATGTTTCGGAAGCATAAGGGCTTTAACTAAATAAAGTGACTTTATAGTGTCACTTTAAAATAATGAGTGAGAAATCTTTCATTTCTTTCAACACACCAGCCATATCCCACCAAGGCAGGGTGGCCCAAAAAGAAAAACTAAAGTTTCTCTTTTAAATTTAGTAATTTATACAGGAGAAGGGGTTACTAGCCCCTTGCTCCCGGCATTTTAGTCGCCTCTTACAACACGCATGGCTTACAGAGGAAGAATTCTGTTCCACTTCCCCATGGAGATAAGAGGAAATAAACAAGAACAAGAACTAGAAAGAAAATAGAAGAAAACCCAGAGGGGTGTGTATGTACATGTATATGCTTGTACATGTATGTGTAGTGTGACCTAAGTGCAAGTAGAAGTAGCAAGACATACCTGAAATTTTGCATGTTTATGAGACAGACAAAAGACACCAGCAATCCTACCATCATGTAAAACAATTACAGGTTTTCGTTGTACACTCACTTGGCAGGACGGTAGTACCTCCCTGGGCGGTTGCTGTTTACCATCCTACTACCTAGGTGAGTGAGAAATAAAAACAATATAATGGCTTTTTGGGTTTTTCTCTCTTTTTGGGTCACCCTGCCTTGGTGAGAAACGGCTGACGTGTTAAAAAAAAAAATAATGGCTAAAGGTGCAGAGACAGGGAAGACCTGTAAGTGCTGGTCTCTGTAGAGTTCCTGGAAGTAAGGGTTATTTTGACAGGCCAATAAAGAAAGATTGCAAATTGTGCTGGAAGTGAACATTTTCATACATGAGGCTTCGACTAAAGCTGTAAAATGTCTAACAGTCAGTGTGAAGCAGTTATATGAGTGACAGATTTATTTATATGACATTTTAAGGTAAATATAAATACAGTGCATATGGAAAGCTTGTGGCTTTCAGAATGTGGGTCATTCTGTGGTAAGTATAAGAAAGGTTAGAAATTTAGGTATACGGTACTTCCATAATTTGTGGTGGTTCTGTTGCAAAAGTGCATTGAAGAATGGTGTAGTATTGTTGTCTCATGATTGCAGGATGGATGTAGAGGTAATAAAAGAAGAGTTTTCAGAGGGAATTGCTACAGTGGAAAACTCTGGAGAGGCCTTGAGGGCTCCCTTCGCAGGGATGAGGTATTTGTACACCTTAATCATATTTAAAAGGTGTTGGGCTTCTCTAGTGCATAGTTACATTGTTATGACATCACACAGAATTTGTGCACAGGCAATGTTCCTGGGTTGAGAACATCAGTTAATTATAAAAATGTTGGTTTGTTTACCCATGGAATTTACACCATAGGTTAGGCAAATACATTAGTGTGAATGGGTAGGTATGTGTACTACCTGCCTACCATAGGCCAGAAAGGCCTCCTGCAGCATTTCTGTGTTATTTCCGTCAAGGAGAGGTTACCTTTAAGGTCTTTCTCGCATACCTTCTCTACTAGTTGTCACTTCACGTATCTAATACACATAACTTAGCTCATAAAATCCATGTGTGGAAATGTAAGTTTTTCATATTTTGTCTGTCCACCTGTTTGGCAGCATAACCAACTGTAGGAACTAGTTTACTCTAAATTTTTATTGCTAGTATAGCTTGCAGGCAAAGTTCATATGAAGTATTTGGTTAGCTCTGTCATTAATTTTCTTCAAGCAAGCATGGGGTGATTTGTTCAGTTATGTTATGATTGCACTAACATAAAATTCTAAAGCTTTTATTCTAACATGATTAATGCTTGAAGATGAGATTGTACATCCAGCCATTTCCAAAGGGAAGAAGGTGCCATTTATACGGAGAGAAAGATTAAGTATATCTATTATTGTTATTGCCCTGTCCATTCTATCTTTGTTTGTTTCCAGACAAAAAAAAAAAAATTAGACTTTATTGGTTAGGTTTCAGAGTTCATATGAGATGAAATAACGATTCTCAACTTTTTAATTGAAACTGGGTAGCCAAACTAGAGTCCTGGAAGTGGGAAGGGCAGTAACTGCACTCTGAAGGAGAGGTGGGGATGTTACAGTCAGAGAGTAGATGTCAGCACATTTCTGGGAAGATGGCAATTGAGTAAATGCGTTTTCTTTGGATCATATATCCTCCCTCTATCTTAAGCACTGTGGGAAAGAGGGAGGGGTCATGACCCCCCCTTTCTCCCCCTCCTCACTAGAGGGGGAGCCAGTGAGTTAAAAAAAAAAAACAATGTATAATCTTAGCACTGGGCTATTTTTTTTTACTGTCAATTAATTTTTATTTTCTGTCAAATTGCATTTATTTTTTCCACAACAGATTGGCATGGTTGCCTGGCGCATGACGCTGCACACTCCAGAGTACCCAGATGGCCGAGACATTATCATAATTTGCAATGACATTACCTACCAGATTGGTTCATTTGGTCCACCTGAAGATATATTATTCCTAAAAGCCTCGCAGCTTGCACGACATCTCAAGGTAATTATCTTCTGTTATTGAGCATTGACAATTGTTCATTATACTTACTTTAGTTATTCATCTTCTATTATATATATGTGTTAATGCTGTTTGTGGTTGCATGCAACATTTGTGCATTGTTAAGTCACAGTTTTGTTAGAAAAACATACATTTTGCTGATACTGAGGGGAGAGATCCCCTCAGTATCAGCAAAATGCCTTTTCACAAGAAAAATTCGTGAGACTCAATTTTTTAAGATTTAAGATTATGCAGTACATGTGTATATATATACGTATATTTACCGGATTCCATGAAAAACTTGGTTTTGTGGCAAAATAGTTCTCTTTCAAACATTTGGGGAAATTTTGTGCAAGATTAAGAGTTTTGCTTCCAGGTTATATGATAACAATGATTTGGTCATTTTTAATGAAAATTGGTATGCAGAAGTACTAAATGGTTAAAATTCCTAAAATATCCTCACAGATTCCAAGAGTCTACATTGCAGCTAATTCTGGTGCTCGAATTGGTCTGGCAGAAGAAATAAAACACATGTTTAAAGTAGCTTGGGAAGATCCATCTGAGCCAGATAAAGTAAGTTTTACATCGTAGCTGCAGGAGACAGTCAAATACACATACATAGGAATGTAGTCTCTTAGGCAGTTATAAATCATCTGTATTGAATTTACGAATCTTTCAATACTGTGAGTGAAGAAGCATTGGTACAGTGGAATCTCGGCACTCGAACTTAATTGACTCCAGAAGGCTGTTCGAGTGCCAATCTGTTCGAGTACAGAATGAATTTTTCCCAACCAATTTTCTTTTTGGTTGGCTATCACTAGCCCTCTTAGGCCCCATGGTGACTTATTTATACAAATAGTATGATAAAAAATTAAAAATGTGAAGAAACAAAAAATAATTTACAGTGAAGTTCTAGCAGGTCATGTTTGGTTGAGTACCGAACTAATGATTGACTACCAAGCGATTTGTTTACCGGACAAAGCGTTTGAATACTGAATTATTCAAGTATAGAGCTGTTCAAGTACCAAGGTTCCACTGTATATTGCAGTTGTATTTTCAGTCATCAGAATAACAGAATTGGCTGATACTCTCGAGTACAGTACAGGTTTCACTCTTTATGCTGGTTTGCTGTATGTGAATTTGCTATTATATGTTTTATCTTCATCAGTAATTATATATATGCAACATACATTCATCATATATGTCATGTCGAAGGGCAATGTGTGGTGTAAATATTATGCAAAAAATTCGGAGTGTGGAAATTAGGAGGTGTGGAGTTAATAAAAGTATTAGTCAGAGGGCTGAAGAGGGGTTGTTGAGGTGGTTTGGTCATTTAGAGAGAATGGATCAAAGTAGAATGGCATGGAGAGTGTATAAATCTGTAGGGGAAGGAAAGCGGGGTAGGGGTCGTCCTCGAAAAGGTTGGAAGGAAGGGGTAAGGGAGGTTTTGCGGGCGAAGGGCTTGGACTTCCAGCAGGCGTGCATGAGCGTGTTCGATAGGAGTGAATGGAGATGAATGGTATTTGGGACCTGACGATCTGTTGGAGTGTGAGCAGGGTAATATTTAGTGAAGGGGTTCAGGGAAACCGGTTATTTTTGTATAGCCGGACTTGAATCCTGGAAATGGGAAGTACAATGCCTGCACTCTAAAGGAGGGGTTCAGGTTATTAGCAGTTTGGAGGGATATGTTGTGTATCTTTATACGTATATGCTTCTAAACTGTTGTGTTCTGAGCACCTCTGCAAAAACAGTGATTATGTGTGAGTGAGGTGAAAGTGTTGAATGATGATGAAAGTATTTTCTTTTTGTGGATTTTCTTTCTTTTTGGGTCACCCTGCCTCGGTGGGAGACGGCTGACTTGTTGAAAAAAAAAAAATCTGTATGAATATTTAAAATGTTAAGTATTCTTTTGAGAATCTCAATAATTGCTGTAATTTTTCATACTGTACATTTCATCTTTGCCTTTATAATATTTGGGAGCTCGGAAAAATTATTACAACTGAAAAGGCTTATATACAAGATTTTGTAGAGAAAAGGGGCTTTGAATCAGAAAGGTGATATTTAATATAAAAATTAATTTTAACCAGAAAGAAAATTTTAGCCGGGAAGGCAATTTTAACCAAAACCAAGGTGTGTTTTTCCTTTAATGAATGTCATAAATTTTAATAAATGATGGCATTATTAATCACATAATATTCCACTTACAATGGTATAATGCCAAGAGGACATTACTTAAGTATTACGTCTTCTCATTGTGGTTCAGATTTATATTTTAATAGTTTTATACCTTGAGCAAAGTAAGGAGTCACAAAAATGTCTAAGCAGTGAAACAGTGGATATAAGACTGGAGGAAGGGAGTATGGAGGGAGTGGATGAAGTTGAATTGTGACGTCTGTGCACTTCTGGCAAGACAGCTATTGCATAAGTGAAGGTGAATGCTTTTTGTTGTTGTTGTTCACCCTAGCTCAGTGGGAGATGGTTGGTGTGATGAAAAAAATCTGGTACATTTCACTCTTTTAAGATACTTAGTGCACCAGATTAAGTGTTCAAGTTTGGTGGACTAAATGACGGATTGTAAAATTCACTTGGCCATTTTCAGTAATTACTATCCAGTTAATGCTGACTTCGTATACGGTACTAAACAGAATAAAAAAAATAAGAAAATACAGTATTGTTCTCTTGTATTGCAATACACTTTCTTGCCTGACAATATTACTAGTTTTTAAAACAGTTCAGAACAAAATTTCAACAACTTGCATTTTAAAAAAAAAATGAATATTTTGTTGACTACACCTACTATCCGACTTACGACCGAGTTTGGTTCCGAGAAACCGGTCGTAAGTCGAACTTTACTACTGAATATCAACAAAACATTTTTGTAATGACTTTATTTTATTGTTTTATTTTGGTATTTCATGTTTTACTTTACTTTTTATGCTGTTAGTACTGTATTTTATACTGTTAGGTTTAGGATAAACACTGTGTACAACACAAATAGTTGTTTTTCCCAGAAATTTGGCATAAAAAACACAGTCGTAAGTCGAGTGGTCGTAAGTCGAGCAGGTTGTAAGTCGGATGGTAGGTGTATTTGTCTATCACTGAGTGAAACATCTCTTATGTGCAAAATTTCTGTATGTGCTCCTCAAACAAATACTTTTCAAATCATACCTGAGTTGTACTATATTCATTATTAATGAAGCTGTTTTTGTGTTAAAAAATTTATTGTTTTGTGGTCATTATGGTTATATCTTTTGTTGTTACAGGGATTCAAGTACCTCTATTTATCACCAGAAGATTATAAAAAGGTTTCTACTCTTGATTCCATCCATGCTGAATTGATTGATGACAATGGTGAAGCACGTTACAAGATCAATGACATAATTGGTATGTTTTACAAATATAAATAATAATTTCTTTCAAAATTTCCATGATATAGGCATAGTGCTGAAATTTGACTAATGGGTTTCTTTTTTTTTATAGCATATTCCACTTACATATAGTGGAACCTCAATGTTTGAACTTAATTAGTTCCTAGGTGGTGGTTGAACTGTGAAAAGTTCAGCCTCACACACTGGAGGATGTTGAACTGACTCTTCTAAAAGTCTCTGAGAGTTAGGTTAATGTCAGAGGTCACCTCAAAGCACTTTTGAAACAGGGTTTCATGTAAAGTTTTTTACAACTGAATTTTAAACAGGTCAGCATGTTTGGACTCCAGAAAAACATTCAAAGACCAGGTCAGTTTTTTATGAACAAAATTGTTTGGACTTTGGTTTGTTCGAGGTCCAGTACATTTGAGCATCGAGGCTCCACTGTATATACTGTATATAATTTTTTTAATGCTGGTCATTTCACATGAAGGTAAGGTGACTCAAAGGAAAGGTCAGCTATCCCTTTTTCTCTTATCAGTTCAAGTGCATTACATCATAGCTGAAGTCTGGCTGACTGGATTTCCTGAAACCCTTCATAGATATTTCTTTTCTCACACTTGACATCACATCAGATAAAAGCAAAAATTTGTCTCCACTCATTGTAATGTAATTTGTTTACACAGGCCTGCAGAATATTTAAGTCTGCCGCTTTAAATTTCCTTTGCACTTTTCTTCTATTCCTTCCTTTAATATTCCTTAAACCAACTTCTCTCCACCCTGGATTTATACACTCTCTTGATAACTTGTCTTGCTTCATCCTTTCTATTGATCAGACTTACAACTTCTTCTCTCTCACTGACTGGCACATTTCTTATCTACTACTAGCCTGCTACAGTCAAGCTTAACCTGATGAATCTCTATACCCTACACATGTAAAAATTCAATATGTTCTTGTAAATCAATATGCAGTTTGTAAAATTGATGGTAGAATATGAAGTGCTAAGTTATTCTTACTAAAAGTTTATCTTTTGACTTTCAGAAATATAGCTACCCCTTACAAAAAGAACAATTGTTAGTTCTTCAACAAAAGTTCTTTTGTGGGAAACAGTTCATTTGGTCTACTACATGTAAATATTAGTTGAAGCATATACAGTATTTACGATTTTACAGAATACAGTAATTGTTAATTCTTTATATTATTTTTCTAGGCAAAGATAATGGGCTAGGCGTTGAGAATCTGCAGCACTCTGGTATGATTGCCGGAGAAACTCCCAAGCCTATCGTGAAATTGTTACATATTCTATGGTTACTTGCCGTGCTATTGGTATTGGAGCTTATTTGGTGCGACTTGGACAAAGGGTAGTGCAAGTGGAATCTTCGCACATAATTTTGACTGGGTTCAGTGCACTCAACAAGGTACGATAAAAAGAATTATCGGTGAATTTTTTAATGCTCAGTTTTAAAAGCATTTGTCATTATATCTTTTGTTGCTGCTAATGAAAGAATATTTGTAATATCCCAATTATATTTGATTGTTTTCTATTTAGATTTTCTGGCTTCTCTAATTTTCTCAATTTAACAATTTTTGGGCAAAAAATTGCTTAATTGAGCTACTTCCTTAAAGGATTCTGTATGATCCTTACTGGTTTAAAGTTTTCCCGTGAATACAGTAATAATAATTATTTAGCTCTTGTGTAATAATGTCAGTGACAAAATTGTTGTATATGCTGTGGATTAGTGTACCATACTGTTATCAGTTTTTTACTTACGCGAGTTTTTTTTATACAAAATTTGGTCATACTTGTCCTCTCTTCTACCTTCCCTTCACCACCAAACAACCACTCTGTTTCATTTGGGTTGAAGTGTACATGCTATGGAACTGAGAACACACGTTCCTACTTATTTCTACTTCTCTTTCCTCTCTCCCTCCACCCATAGTCACAACTTTGAATCAGTACAACCCAACTTCATCTGGTTGGTTGCCCATTTTTTTTTTTTTTTGACTTGTCAGAAGTCTCTTACATTGAATACTGGCCATAGGATTTTGTTCAGAATAAGCTCTTTGGAGTTCCCGTACTCATCTGTTTTGACTCTTTTATTTCTTTCTTATAAATGTCAGTATAAACCAGTTTAAAGTGATGTTTTAACTGAAATGGTTAAAACATCAAGTGGTGCTGGGCTTGGCTGATCACATATGAGCAAATTTATACTACATATAACAAATTAATGGGAGAAATGGAGTCGTTGCACAAAAGCCGATTTGAACAATGTGATGGAAATCTGTTTATAAATAACTTTTCTGTGATTTTGCAGCTGCTCGGACGTGAGGTTTATAGTAGCAATTCACAATTGGGTGGTGTTCAGATCATGCATAAGAATGGTATCTCACATGATGTTGCTCCAAATGACTTAGAGGGCATTCATACCATGCTGAGATGGCTCTCTTATGTTCCTAAGGTTTGTATTCATTTAATTTTTACATCTTTAGAAGTGAAACTAGTAACCACAGGCTTTTTTTCTTTGTCATTGTGCTTGATCATGTGGAAGTTTAGAATTTTTTTTATATCACTCATTGTTTGTGGGTTTCAACGATAAATTTCCTATACTAATAACCTTTCGCATTTACGTACATGAGCTTACTTTTTTTCTTTAAGACTTTTGGGTATTGACAAGTCATGCACCTGATTTTGATTTTAATAATTGTTGCCCTTGAGATGAACACATGCAAATAATCAAAATGGTTAGGTAAGATCTTAGTGCCTTGTGATGTTTTTCTGTTATATGTAGCAAAAATATTTCGCAAATGTGAATTGGATTTACTATTTATTAACATTTTCAGACTAATTGCTGTCTAGCCTATTAAAAAATATTTTAAATTTGAAATGTTGCATTGCAGAATGTCATAACTGATTCTGTTTAATTGTACAGTGTAAAGGTTTTCATAATTTTTCCAGACTAAGGACTCTCCATTGCCAGTACTTGAACCTATAGATCCAGTGAACCGTGAAGTGACCTTCGTACCATGTCGGGCCTCTTATGATCCACGGTGGCTAGTTAATGGTCGACCCTCTCCTACCAATCCTAGTGAATGGGAAAGCGGCTTCTTTGATAAGAATTCTTTCCAGGTATGCTCAAGACTGACATAGTTTTCTGTAAGTGCTCAAAATTTTTAAATTGTCTCTATAAATTTCATCATGTAAATTTTGCTTTGAAAGTTCTTCTGGCAGGTTAACATTCCACAATGTTAGTGTAAAGAAATGCTCTTGAGTGTACTGGAGTTTGAGCAAGGTAAGTAAGTTTATTTAGGCACAGGTACACATAAGTACAATTATCATACATGGTGTAAATTACATAGGATAAACCCATCTCTCTCCCCCCCCCCCCAAAAAAAAAAGTCAGTGACTTATTTCTACTGGGGTCCTTGAAGGTATTAGGGTAAAATAGGTTAGCTGAGCTTGAGTCCTGGAGGTGGGAAGTAAAGGAGGCATGAGGACGTAGTTTGGAGGATTATCTGAAATAGGATGTCTGCATGCTTCTAGGAGGACAGTGATTGAATGAGTGACAGTGTACTTACTCTATTTTGGGTCACTCTTCCTTAGCGGGAGACAGTTAGTGTGTTGAAAAAGATAACATAATGGAAGTCTGTATTTTAGCCTAAAGTAAATTTACCCTGCATAGTGTGTCTTTATGGCATCCACATTGGCTTGTTAGCCCAGTCACTATTCCACATTTATTATTTTTATTACAATGAAAACTAAACACTACATTTACTTTTTTTTATATTGGTACAGAAATGTTTTTGTTGCAAATTTGAATTAGTCTCTAATAAAGTTCCCTCTGGTTCTTATGCTAAAATATATATTTTATCCGAGTTATTTGACCTACTTGATTAAATATCTGAAAATGTCATTGCATGTGGTGTATTTGGCTGACTGGTGAAGGCATCAGTTGCCAAACACACACTTTCTATAATCTTGACCCACAATGAAAATTTGACATAAATAGGTAATGACTAGCATTTCTTGTAAAAAATTTAAGTAATTTTTTCACATAATTCCTATTTGCAGGAAATTCTAGAGCCTTGGGCACAAACGGTAATGTGTGGTCGAGCACGGTTAGGTGGCATACCAGTTGGTGTAATTTGTGTGGAAACTCGAACTGTCGAGTTTAACCTTCTTGCTGACCCTGCTAATTTGGATTCAGAGGCAAAGGTAAGAAGTTATTTTCATTATCATGCTTTTCCATGTTAATGTGCCCTTTGCTTTTCCCAGTTCCTTCTCTCAATCTTCTCTTTGCCTTTGCTGTATGCATTCATGATTATGCAGTGGAGTAGTTCCTTCTTGCAGTAAACCATCAGCTTTTCTGCCATGCTCTCATCTTGGTAAATGTCACTTCTGATTACCCAGTATATTCCACATATAGTGATATGTGTGAATGATGAAAGTTTTTTTTTGGGGGGGGTTACCCTGCCTCAGTGGGAGATGGTCAGCATGTTGGGGGAAAAAAAATTTATGTAGTGTAAAGAAGTAATATCAAAAGCAACGTGCTTCTTGCAGTACTCATTGTTGCAAGTAGTAAATAAAGAGTTGCTGTGCTAAATAATAGCTACAACAAACACCAGTGTGAAGAAATCTAAGCATACAAAATTCTATAAAAACCTACTCCAGGTTATGTTGTGGGGATTTGTCTCCTAATAACTTGTGCCCTGTTTTTGTATAAATTTTCACTAAGAAAAATGGGAAAATGTGCAGAGGATTATGAAAGTTTTAGCACGTTCAGTGCAGCATCAGATTGTTGAACATTCCTCCATTTTAACAGACTATCTCTCAAGCTGGCCAAGTTTGGTTCCCTGATTCAGCATACAAGACTTCACAGGCAATTCAGGATTTCAACCATGAAAGCCTTCCTCTCATCATCTTTGCTAACTGGAGGGGTTTTTCAGGAGGCATGAAAGGTACATTTCTCTTAATACAAAAAATGATTTTATCCAATAAAAATATTTGTTAAAGGTCAATTAGTACATACTTTCAAAACCACCACTATTAAATTTCAGGTTTTGCTGCATATTTATAATTTTACAACCAGAAGGGAAGTGGTTTTAATCACTAATTTTATAAAAGAAAATTTGTAATTTATTTCAGATATGTATGAGCAAGTGATCAAATTTGGTGCTTATATAGTTGATGCATTACGAGAGTACAACCAACCGATATTAGTGTATGTTCCACCCTATGCTGAGCTGCGTGGTGGTGCCTGGGTTGTAATTGACTCCACTATTAATCAGAGATACATGGAAATGTATGCTGACCCTCTTTCTAGGTAAGTGGACAGTGATTTTGGAAGATTGTTACTCCAGGCAAGCATAATGTTAGAAATCGTTATTAATTTTCTATATTGCTGTTAATAGTGCTCGATTCAGCTACCTCGTGTTTATGTTATTTATGTATTCAACCTCACATCATTGAACAGATCATGGAATAAGAATTATATACTATCAAATTTATGTGTGTGTCATTAAAACTTTGGGTTTATATTCATAAAGAATTTTTTGTTTAATCAGAGGAGGAGTCTTAGAACCTGAAGGAACAGTGGAGATAAAATTCAAGAAGAAGGATATTGTGAAGTCAATGTCACGTTTAGACCCAATTATCCATAAATTGAACCAAGCATTGACTGAGCCAGACCTACCTCCAGAAAAACAGGCCAGAATTAGAAAGCAAATACAAGAGAGACAGGATTTGCTCATGCCAACATACCATCAGGTAAATCCTTTTTTTAAATTGAATTGCCCTATGGTAGAGAATGTGATTTTGAAACGTTATTTTATTAAGGGAATATTCTGATGGCTTAAGTAGTTTCTAAAAGATGCTTGTGTACTTGCCTAGTCTGTACCTGGAGAGGGTCTCTGGGATCAACACCCCTGTGGCCCAGTCTGTGACCAGGCTATTATTATAGTCAATCTTTCTCAGGTAACACTTGTATTTCAGTACCAGTGGTGGTCTGCTTCATTTCCTTGAGCCTCACAATACCCTGTATCTATTTATTCCACATCAACAACTTTTCACATTTTTTCAACCTTCCAGTGCTGTACTTTTTTTTTTTTTTAATTTTATGTACTCACTAAGTGCATGTTTCTTTACACTTTGTTTCTCATTACAAATAAGTGGTAATTGCTGTACTGTTATTATAACCAAACATTAAAAGTTATCGAAACATGTCCATGTCCTTGAACTAGGAGCCACCGTGAGCATACAAGCAGTTTCTACTACTTGACGCTTGGACTGTAAAACATGTCCGTTATACTTGCATAACACATTCTTATGTTGACAATGGTATAAAATACTGACAAATTGATGAGTAAAACATGTGCAACAGTTGAGTATCTTTATTATCGAAATGCTTTGCCTACACAATAGGTGTCTTTGGTCAAATACAGAGGCAGACACTGTTGCACATGTGTCTTCCTCATGATACATTCTCATTTCCCACCATTCATTTACTGACACACACACACACACACACACACACACACACACACACACACACAACACACACACACACTCACACCACACCACACACACACACTCTCACTCACTCTCTCTCTCTAAACATTCCTTGTACTTTATTTAGACTTTATTTTAGCTTAGGTTACGTTGCTACATAAACAAGACATGTAGGTTTTCTATATAATTAGCATTCTTTCTTTCAACACACCGGCCGTATCCCACCGAGGCGGGGTGGCCCAAAAGGAAAAACGAACGTTTCTCCTTTTACATTTAGTAATATATACAGGAGAAGAGGTTACTAGCCCCTTGCTCCTGGCATTTTAGTCGCCTCTTACAACACGCATAGCTTACGGAGGAAGAATTCTGTTCCACTTCCCCATGGAGATAAGAAATAAACAAGAATAAGAATAGAAAGAAAATAGAAGAAAACCCAGAGGGGTGTGTATATATATGTGCTTGTACATGTATGTGTAGTGTGACCTAAGTGTAAGTAGAAGTAGCAAGACATACCTGAAATCTTGCATGTTCATGAGACAGAAAAAAGGACACCAGCAATCCTACCATCATGTAAAACAATTACAGGCTTTCGTTTTACACTCACTTGGCAGGACGTAGTACCTCCCTGGGCTGTTGCTGTCTACCAACCTACTACCTATGATAATTGACATGTATGTAATAATTAAACAATGTTTAACACCATTTGTAAATGAAAAGGAGCTGTGCAGAATGTAAAATGTAGGGTAAATGTTCCTAATTATGAAAAGAAATTGGATGCAGAATATTTTGGTTTGGGAATGCATCTTCAATTCTAACATGGGTGTCTATATATAAATAACTTCTGAATTCCAAACTCTGTACACTTCACAGCATTTCACCAATGCAGGGGTTTTCATTTATACCCATTCTTTATTTATTCACACTTCCTACAGTAAATATATTCACCACTTACTGTAAGCTTGAAAATAAATCAGGAATGCATCAATGTTGTAGTGGAGAACCTTCCATATATAGGTTAATAATCTACTCAAATTTTGATAGTAGTATAAAGGAGAAAGCATGAGAGTACTCTTTGCAGGTGGCAGTAACCTTTGCTGATCTCCACGACACCCCTGTTAGGATGCAAGAGAAGGGTGTTATCCAGGGTATAGTGCCTTGGGTTCAGAGTCGTAAAGTTCTCTACTGGAGACTTAGACGCCTTTTAGCTGAGGAAAGAGTGAAGAAAGAAATAAGATCAATTCAACCCAGCTCATCCGATGGCCAAATTGATGCTATGTTGAGGCGATGGTTCTTTGAGGAGAAAGGATCAGTGGAGGTATGTAAATTATTCTAGTGTTCATTGTTTTTCTTTGGTGCACTACTATAAAATGCTCAAGATTTTTGTATGAGCTGGTAAGTACATTCTGGGTTATGCCAACCATTGTTTTGAGTCCATTCCATTTGCATGCTTGAATTTATCATTAAATAACCCTAGAGAACAGGTGTTAATTTTAAAATAAGCTTAGTAGTCTCTTATAATGAAAATATGGAATATATAGTTAGAATGATATATAAGATGAAAAAAAAATAGGTGATTTTCAGTTAGTCAAATAAGTTTCTGTACAAAGAATTGGTGAAAGTTTGCCTTGTAAGTCTTGTGATGATTAACTTGGTTAGATCTTTAGGGATGTAACAGCCAGGATTGGAACACATGTCAGACAGACATAGATAGGAAAGCTCCACATGCTCCCTCCCTCAGGGTATTACCCTGAGGGAGCTACCTCATTCCTCATAATAACTTGGCTGAAGATGGCTTCAACATGAGGGCAAAATATTAAGCTTATTGCTCTGATTATTTTTTTTTTGAAAGTGCTATTTTTCCTTCCTGACATAGATGAACTACTACTTTATACAAGTAATTTCAAGCACGTTTATTCTAAAATTTTCTGTGATAAATATTCTTTACAGAGTTATTTTTTTACTAAATTTATAAAATAATAAGTTTAAAATTACTAGTTGGGATAAAAATAAATGTTTTTAATAGCTAACTGGCATTTTTGAGGAGAGCAGGTTTCCAAATACATAAAAAATGCCAAATTTAACGTCACACTTGAGTGTGTACTATAATTATAAAAATTATATTAGAACAGTACTTAATTAAACCTAACTTTACAGTCCTACTTGTGGGACAAGGACCAAGTTGTAGCTGAATGGTTAGACCAGCAGATGGAAGGTTACTGGTTTGGGGTGGATGGGAAATCACCTCTTGAAGATGCTAGTACCTCTTATCTCTCAGAAAATCTACAGCTCATGAAGAGAGATGCTGCCATATCACAAGTCAAGGATGTTGTAAAAGTTAGTATTTGTTCCACATAGTTAAATAGATATTATATATATAATGTTTAATATTGTAGAACAGTACTTTACCAGTTATTTAAATATATCTATGGTATATCCCCAAATTGTAGTGTGTTTTACATCTTTGATGTGATAATGATACAATAATCCTATTTTGTCAATTCCTCTGTCTCTTTTTTTCTTTTTTTTTTTTGGTAGTATTGCACGTCTAATTTACAGTATCATTAGAAAATATATTTTCTGAGTCAGATTTGAATTATACATTATTGATCTCATCACTAAACTTATTCATTACTTTTTATATACAAAATATAAAAGCCATCAAATTGAACTGTGCTTTCTTTTCAGGAATTCCCAGAGATTGCAATGGACACCATAGTGCATATTATCCGCCGCATGTCTCCATCGCTTCGTTCTGATGCCCTGAAAGCCCTCAACAACATGGACCTCATTAGCCAGCAGGCAGAACCTGTTACCACTCCAGACCAACAGGATAATTCAAACTGACACACATGGTGGCAGTAGTAGGCCATACTACTAGCCACATCCATCCAAGGTTTTTACTAACCTAGCTGCTGTACACATTAGCTTGTTAAATTGTCCAAAAGATAAAGCAAAATGCTCCAATAAGAGGTTTATGCAGCCTGTGCCTTTTCTAAGAGAGTACACCCCTTGAATCCAAGTTGTCCAAAACCAGATTAAGTGCAGCTAGTGCCATATGCAGTGAACCTTTCTTTAAACATTAACTTATAGTAAAGCCCCTGCTGTGCAGATAGGGTGAAATAGGAATAATCATTGCACAAAATATATTGGGAACTTCAAGAAAATGTTTGCACATTTTTTTTTTATCTCTCTGGCCATCTCCCACCGGGTTATGGCAAAGTGTCAAGAAGAAAACTTTCTCAGTCACTCATTCACTGCCTTGCCAGAAGTGTGCTGAGATCACAGTTCAGATGACCCCCAAACTGCAACATCCCCATCCCTCCTTCCTAGTGCAGGCACTATAGTTCCCATCTCCAGGATTCAACTCCAGCTAATTGGTTTTATTGAATCCCTTCATAAATGTCACACAAATATATTGGGAATTTCAAGATATAAGGATTTGTTTGAAAAGTAAATCTGATTATGGCTTTGGTTTTAACATTCTGCATAGTAGGTCTAGATAAGTATCTTATGAATATATTAATAGTTAAATGAATAATTTAATTCAGATTTAACTTTATGATGAGGCTTAAGAAATGCTTAAAACAAATTGAACAGTCAGCATTTAAAACTGTAACACTGCCATTATATATATACAACAGTTTAAAAGTAGAATGCTGTCAGTACATATGACAGTTTAAAACTGTAATACTGCCAATACTTACTTCTTACTTGGGGAGGGAGGGAGGGCTTAATAACTAAGTCTACATAAACTGTCAGGACAATGGCATTGGCCTTATTTAGATGTGAATTTAAAAAGATTAATATTTAGTGAAGGGATTCAGGGAAACTGGTTATTTTTATATAGCCGGACTTGTGTCCTGGAAATGGGAAGTACAATGCCTGCACTCTAAAGGAGGTGTTCGGGATATTAGCAGTTTGGAGGGATATTGTTGTGTATCTTTATAGTTATATGCTTCTAAGCTGTTGTGTTCTGAGCACCTCTGCAAAAACTGATTATGTGTGAGTGAGGTGAAAATGTTGAATGATGATGAAAGTATTTTCTTTTTGGGGAATTTCTTTCTTTTTTGGGTCACCCTGCCTCGGTGGGAGACGGCCGACTTGTTAAAAAAAAAAAATTGCACTTTGACAGGCATGATAATGTCTCCTCCATCAGCTAAGGTTAGTGGGTCGTGATGTGTGTTTTAGGTAAATTGCATAGGTGATTAGTAGATATATTATTTTTCAAAGTTTATTACTGTACTTTTATAAATTTATTATTATTTTTCTTTTCAACATGTCGGCCATTTCCCACCGAGGCAGGGTGACCCAAAAACAAAACAAAAAAAAAAAAAAAAAGAAAAAAAAAAAGTCACTTTTACCATCATTCACACTATAACTTGTCTTTGCAGAGGCATGCAGATAAGTCAGTTTAGATGTCACTCTCAATGGCAAATATCCCAAACCCCTCCTTTAAAGTGCAGGCATTGTACTTCCCACCTCTAGGACTCAAGTCCAGCTAACCGGTTTCCCTGAATCCCTTCACAATATATTACCCTCACAGTCCAACAGCTTCCCAAGTCCCAAAAACTGTTCATCTCCACTCCTATCTAACACGCTCGCACGTGCCTGCTGTATGTGAAAGTCCCTTTCACACAAAACCTCTTTTACCCCCTCCTTTCATCCTTTCCTAGGACTACCTCTATACCAAATAAACTTATTTCAGCTTGTAAGGCGAGTCTGCCTCTTCTCTTTCAACTGACGGAAGTTCACTTTGTTGTATCTACTTTTGAATACCTACAAAGAGACAGCATACATTAACTCCATCCTCTAGTAATTTCCACTTATTTACCACTTTTATTTGTGTGTAGTTTCCATCTGTCTTAGTACTTTTCTGTCTTAGTACTTTTCTAGTAAAAAAACCAATCTTCTGTATGCCTCAAGGTATTTTGTATTTTGGTTCCTCATTCTTCAAGAGAAAGGAGGAATTGCTCTTATCTCAAGCACTAGTCCCAGATCTAATGTAGCTGGGCTGTTAGGATAGGTTGGCTAGCGAGCTAAACTATATTGTTAAGCAGCGTAGAGCTAGAGAAGACAAGACAAGTTAGATGCTTGAAGATATCAAAGTGCAGTATGCAAGGGCAGATTATTTTATACACGGGAGTGAGCCAAATGAAAAGATATAAATAGAAACTACAAATAAACTAGACATTTTTTTTTAATATGAGGGTAATCAGCATGTAAAATCTATTAGGAAGAGGTAACAGAGATTGACTCCTACATGGATTGAAAAGTAAAGTCATCACAGTTGAGGTGAGAGTATCCTCATAACATAATAGTCAAAAGGTGGACACCAAGAGATGTAATTAACTCCTTCAGAGACAAGCCTCATAGTTATGCAAGTATAGTCTCACACACATTTATTCATGTACAAGCACACACTTTGATAAGTAAATTACCATTAAAACTATTGTACATCTTTTGAGAGCATATGATTACAACATAGGAAATATTCTGGGGTGTAGACAAAAGCAGTCTTTCCTAGAAAGGATAGAAGACAAAGAGGTTGGGGAGGAAAGAAATATTAGGAAAATGGAAGAATCTATATAACTGACCCCATATTAAAGTCCATGTGTAACTATGAAAGAGTTATTTTATGCAAGTCAAAAGTTTGTTGAAGCCAATATTTAAACCTTGCTCACAACCCTTGCTGAGCAGTGGGTAATGAAAAAGTGCATATGCATGTGTACATCGATGTGGACGAGGTCTTCCCGATGCTAGGGAGAGCGGGATCACTTTTAGTGGCTTATCAACAAATGTGTTATATCAGCTAGGCTATTTTTTGACTTGGCACCTTTTAATATATTATTTTTATTTGTGGAAGAAATTTTCTGTGCATTGGTTAGAATATAATATATTGTGCATAAATTTATTTTTATTGTATACAGCAGGTACTGAGCCCTCAAACAAATTTGTTACTATAAACATGGAATGTACTACTGCAGTTATAATGTAACATTCAAGATAATCAGGGCTTTTTGTTATTTGAGAGCAGCACTTTAACTTCACAAATATTTTCGTTGTCATGCAGGTACACGTGTGTAATGGTATTTTTTTAGGTTATGTTATGAATATATATATATAACAAATGGCAGAGTCCAGGGAAGTATAAAAGGCTGCTGGTCAGATTCTCTTCTTTGCTAATTCAACTGAAACTTTAAATTTAGTTTAAGAGTAAAGCACAACTACTTTTAAAGCTTTTTATTTGCTTTCTTGATGAAAGCCTTTTAAAGGTAATAAGGTTTGTGATGATCTAATGATATGTATATTTTGCTATTAAGTACGCAGCTCACATTCCTATATGTACCTTACAACACTTTCAGTTGCTGGGCAAGAGAAGCAAATAGATGACATGCGTGCACATAAAGCACCGTACGCCTTTATTCTAGCAGTGTTATAATAAAGGAGAGTTATATTGAGATAACTATGTAAAGCTCTTTAGTGAAAATTCTGTTATAAGGCTTGTACAGTTTGTGTGCTTGTCATTCCTTACTTGTTGTCTGTTAATGAGTGCCATATTATGGCTTAAATATTTAAAAAATTAAAAAAAAAAAAAAAAAACTGATAGACTCTTTGCTGGCCAAAGAACTCCATTAAATGATTATTTGCTATTTTTAAACTGAGGTCTTAGATAAAATAAACTGATTCAGTTAATATGTTTGAAATGTTTTGTGTGATGCCCCGTGTTAGGATCATTACACTGTAATTCTTCACACAACGATAATCACGTCACCATTTAACACATTGATATCTTTTGTGTGGTATTTCTATAGCTTCAATTGTTGGCTGTTTACGTAAAGGATTGTTCATCATTGTATAAACTATGTGCTGCATGTATGTCTTAGTCATTATATACCACAGTGACATTTTCAGTATAGGTATCATTCAATTTATGGAAGCTCATTGAGAATGGTTAAGCAAGTAAGAATCAAAGTCAATACTATGGCTGGGACAGTTAATAAATAACCTGCACATAGAAGAGAAAATTTAAGACATTTCAGTCCATCGTAGACCACCGTAAATCAAAGCTGTCTTGATAATAGGCCAGGATAGGATGAAATGTCATAAGTTACCTCTCCTAAGTGTTTTTTATTTGTAAATCAGTAAGGCATTGAATTAATTCACTTAAGCAAGGCTAATGAATGCCAGCAAGGAGTAGTCAGAAGTTTAATAGGTAGTGTATGTCTCATGCTTAGTGGATGGAGGATTGAGCCTCCCTAGTAATTGTACAGAATAATCCACAGGGGATTAGCCCTTTATACAAAATAACAGTGAACATTAGCATTCTTATGTTCGCATGTTCTTTTTTTTGTGTGTAAGTTACCACAGTATTTAAAGAAACAGAAATTCATTGAATAATGTGCCACATGTTAACTAAAGATGTGTAGGTGTTATGTATTAAAAGAAAATTGGGTCACAATTATGAAAATGAGCACTATTTCAAAGTTTTGTTCATGCATAATTGTTTTTATGCTCTGCTGTGGCATTCATTACAGTTTATATTATAAATATACACACAAAAAAAAAAAGGCACAAATATTTTGTGCCAAGTCTGGTGTGCATATTAATGGTAATAGTGTAGCTGAAAAGATCATTCTAACCAAAGTTTATATGTAAAACCTACATAGGAATATAGCTTTAATGTCTATTTGGAAAAAAAAAAATAGGTGGAGATTTTTTAATTTAGGGATTTAAGTGCCAGTGATGAAAATATGTAAAGAAAACCACACGAGTTACTTTTATAATGTGAAAATATATGTAAACATTTATGGCACTTGTGTAATCTTGGAGCAAACTAGACAAATACATAATTGAAATATCATAAATGAATGCTAGTCAGGATATACGTTTCATCATTTGAAAGAATATAAAGGCTCAGTAAGATATAAAATAGTTTAGATGTTATATATTACAACCTTAGTGTCAGTGGCAAGATGTTTTGCATATTTGAAGTGTGCAGTTCTTTGCTATATGTCATTTTTGATACAAGTAATCTTTCTTCAGAATGAATAGTTGATTTCCAAAAGACTTGACTAAATCCCATAGTATGATAGGAAGTAATAAATTTTCAGCAAGGCATGGAAATTTCCAGTTTTGCCCATATTTTTCAATTGTTCTGCTAGCAGAGACAATCTAAAAGGGAATAAAGAGAAATCGCAGCAATACACAAGATATGACACCTGCACATAGCTGACTGCAATAGTAGCAGTCTGGCATCTATAACTTTTCAAAGGTTAAGGGCTTTTGATCGAAGTAATGAGAGCTATACTTCCTTTTGAATCAAACATGATTACCTTCTGTTCCCTAGGCATTATTTAACCCATATAGGTTCAGTATTCCCATGAATATAATGATAATGGCAGCCAAGAGACCAGGGTTTTAAATATCCGGTGGACTCGGCCGAAATTGAATTCGAGCATGAAGATTTGAAATTTAGGCTCGGGAAATATATCTTTTTATCTTTTAAATGTAAAATACTAATAATGCAACCAAGTGGGGAAAATATATTTCGATATACTAGAGGCTTATTTATCTTCGATACACTCTTCTCTCTGAATTTCCCGAGGTAGCACGGATGACACGAGAGCCTCCAAGTATACCCGATTTTGTTTTTATTCTGCTACACTTTATAATTATTTTTAATTCCTATGCATCTCACAATTTTGTAATTTCTCTAGTTATCGTATGTTGTAACACACATCTTTCTCTGTAACCTTGCACCTTTTATTCTTTACTTTGCTACTTATTTCTTACTACTCAATGATAATATATACATGCCTCACAGTTCTATTGTTATACAGTGGACCCCCGCATAACGATCACCTCCGAATGCGACCAATTATGTAAGTGTATTTATGTAAGTGCGTTTGTACGTGTATGTTTGGGGGTCTGAAATGGACTAATCTACTTCACAATATTCCTTATGGGAACAAATTCGGTCAGTACTGGCACCTGAACATACTTCTGGAGTGAAAAAATATCGTTAACCAGGGGTCCACTGTATACTATAGTTGAAAACTGAAATGTTACTCAAATTTCCTAAACAATGACACATTGGTAGAGATCTCAAAAACTTGTTTTTTATAAACTACATTGCAGTGCATCCATGATATTGTCAACATTTCCTTCTTAAACCTCTTCTAGCCTTGTAGGTTCTCGAGCTTCCTTTCATCAAATGAAACAAGACTGCCTTTCCCAGGCACTAAATGACCTAATGGGTTCATTGCTTCCCATGAATACATGACAATAATAATAATAATCTTGAAGGATAGTACAACATCCATCAGAATGTAAATACATTCATAGTAACTAATGAAATGTGCTTAGTTTTGATTATAGTAGTACACAAAGGGAACCTTTTATATATGATTGTATGACTCTTAAATTAATCAAATAGGAATTGCCATACATACTGTTGTTGCTCCTTATCCTGTAAATAATTTTGATATACTGAAATGTGAAAGGCTTACAGTAGCATGCAGCATACCTACGATAAAAAAAACTGCAAACTCACTGTTAAGGAAGGTCCTCTGAAGTCAAAGCAAAGTATTTCTAGATATCTACCTCAGGCTGAATTTTTCTTGAAAACATTTATGGGTAAACTGAACTGCTATTCTGAAATATATACCAATTTTAAGTATGTCCAGTGCTGTACTACATTTTACATTTATGGGGGCTTTCATAAAGAATTCTTTATTTTTGTTTAATTTTGTATCACCTTAAAAAAATGAAAAATATGGAGCATAGTATTCAGAAAGTTTAGTTATTAAATTGCAGCCTTAACAATAAATCCTTATACAACATGGTAGTTGTATTACTACAAACTATCATGTCCTAGTAAATCATATGAGAAATGAGTACTTTTAGTAGAAATAGTTATATTGTATGACTGTGACAACTCAAAACAGACAGAAGTTAGACAAAAATATTACAGAAGACAAAGTAATGAAACTTGCCACGTTAATGTGAATGTTTCATAAGTACTCTACTTTTCTACCTATTATTGGAAGGTTATGTTAAATATTGTTCCATTTTACAGTGATGAAAAGAAGTGGAAACAGCAAAATGATAGCTGGTTGTGTAGTCTCTCCAGTACACACAATCAGGTATTGTGGTCACTGGTGAGGAAATGTGCTATCTTGTGGGAGACATTTTTTACTAATTGTAGCATATGTATAAAATATCAAAGAGCAAACTTTACTATAAGTAAGCTACTGGCAAATGCACAAATTTTTCTTTCAAGTATGTCCATGAAGGATAGAGTAAAATCTATTTTGTTAGGCAGCATTTTTATAAAGCATTTTGATCCCTAAAATGTCTCCAGTCAGTTACAGAAATTTCAAATTAAAATGTTTTATTCAGAAATTGAGTAATATTGAACTTGTGTGTGCTGTGTTTATGTATATTCTGTATTTATTTTATTAATAAATTAGCATGCATTTTTATTGTATGCTTAAATAATAATTGCAGATATGTCATATTTATTAACAATGTCATTAGGTTATGTACAAATGTTTATTGGTTCAGATAAATCTTTGATACCACATATGCATCTTATTTATATCCAAAACTATTAATATCAAAACTTTAAAATAATGCAAGTACATACAATGGTACCTCGGGATACGAATGGCTCAAAACTCGAACAATCATGTAAGTGTATTTTTGGGGGTCTGAAATGGATTAATCTAATTTACATTATTCCTTATGGGAACAAATTCGTTCGGTATCGGCACTCGAACAGCCTTCTGGAACAAATTAATTTCATATCCCGAGGTACCACTGTACAGTGGACCCCCGGTTAACGAACTTTTTTCATTCCAGTAGTATGTTCAGGTGCCAGTACTGACCGAATTTTTTCCCATAAGGAATATTGTGAAGTAGATTAGTCCATTTCAGACCCCCAAACATACACGTACAAACGCACTTACATAAATACACTTACATAATTGGTCGCATTTGGAGGTGATCGTTAAGCGGGGGTCCACTGTACTTTGATACTTTTATACATGCGAAGGTTTGACCTACTATTTTGGTAATTAATCATGTGTAGAATATGTAGAGGTAGTGCCTCAATTTGACTTTAGTAGAAGAGGAAGTATTGTAGAAAAGATGCAGTAGACTGCTAAAATAATTTTGATGTATGTAGACTACAAAGGACTTGTGCTTTATGACTTGCACTTTTTAACATGCCGCCCATTTCCCACTGAGGCAGGGTGATCCCCCCAAAACAAGTGCTTTTACCATCATTCACACATAATCACTGTCTTTGCAGAGGTGCTCAGATATGACAGTTTAATTGTCATTCTAAACAGCCAATATCTCAAGCCCCTCCTTTAAAGTGCAGGCATAGTACTTCCCACCTCCAGGACTCGAGTCCAGCTAACCAAAATCTCTTTTACCTCCTCCAGCCTTTCCCAGGATGACCTCTACCCCTCCTTCCCTCCTTTACGGAGTTATACACCTTCCAAGTTATCCTGTTGTGCTCCATCCACCCAATATATATATATATATATAATATATATATATATATATATATATATATATATAATGAAACGTCAGAAATCTATGAAAATAGGCCAGATACGGATGGAAATAGTGAATGAGCTTACGTAGACTGAAGAGAGTAGAGAGAAAACAGGTGGAAATAGTTCCGAGTGTAAGGAGGCCTGAAGTAGAGGAAAATTGGGCAGGAATGGGTAAAAAAAAATAGGCCAAGAGCATTCCAAAACAGAAGAGAAATGAGAAAACAGGTGCAGAATGGATTGAACGAGGTCAGAAAAGGATGAAAATAGACCTGAAATGAATGAAAAAAAGGTTAGAAGTTGAAATAGGCCAGAAATCGATGGAAATAGGCCAAAAATGGGTAGAGATAAGAGATTGAGGGAAAACGCAGCTAATTCTTGTTTTCGTGATGGCTAACCTTTTCTTCTCTCTCCCCTCACGATTTTCAGCCCCAGTTACATAGTAAATAAACTCTAACGAAGAACTTTTTTGAAACGTGGCGACAGAGTTCAGAATAACCTAGCCAAAAGTGTTATAAACCCCACAACCTCAAAATAAAAAATAAAATGAAAATAAAATACCATTTCGAATGAAAAGCCAATCACGTATTTAAAAAAACTAAAGCCTGATGAAAACTAGTTCTCTGATATTTGGCCAACAGACACTTTACCAAAGGACATTTGACCGAATAAACATATGTTAGAACTGGCAGTCATCGCCTTAACCTAAATTATTCATTTGGCCAGTTGGCTGACAGACATTTGCCCGAAGGACAAGTGTATGTTGGTCAACACCATTAGAACCCCCCACTAGTTTCTGGAATGTCACATCACTGTCCTCACCTATTTGTGGTTGCAGGTGTCGAGTCACAGCTCCTGGCCCGGTCTCTCCGCTGGTTGCTACTAGGTCCACTCCCCCCCCCCCCGACTGTGTGTTCATTATTATTCCTGCCAAGACTTCACTTATATTTTTGTTGTGGTTCCAATGAGTGGAATATATTTTTCTCAAGTGAAAATGATTTTCCAGAGTCAATATCACAGTTGCAGGTTGCAAGTAGCAGCATTGCTGGAGGAAGTTTTGTTTCTCAGGAAACGTGTTTGTGTACCCACCTAATTGTGGTTGCAGGGGTCGAGACTCAGCGCCTGGGTGTGTGTATGTTTGATACTGATGGCTGTCAGACGATGACCCGTCCAGTGACTGGTGCTGGGTATCAGTAATTAACCAATCACTGGTGTACTGGTGCTGGGTGTCAGTAATTTAAAAATCACTGGTTGTACTGGTGCTGCATATCAGTAATTAACCAATCACTGGTGTACTGGTGCTGGATATCAGTAATTAACCAATCACTGGTTGTACTGGTGCTGGATATCAGTAATTAACCAATCACTGGTTGTACTGGTGCTGGGTATCAGTAATTAACCAATCACTGGTTGTACTGGTGCTGGGTATCAGTAATTAACCAATCACTGGTTGTACTGGTGCTGGATAACAGTAATTAACCAATCACTGGTGTACTGGTGCTGGATATCAGTAATTAACCAATCACTGGTGTACTGGTGCTGGATACATAATTAACCAATCACTGGTGTACTGGTGCTGGATATCAGTAATTAACCAATCACTGGTGTACTGGTGCTGGATATCAGTAATTAACCAATCACTGGTGTACTGGTGCTGGATATCAGTAATTAACCAAATCACTGGTGTACTGGTGCTGATATCAGTAATTAACCAATCACTGGTGTACTGGTGCTGGATATCAGTAATTAACCAATCACTGGTGTACTGGTGCTGGATATCAGTAATTAACCAATCACTGGTGTACTGGTGCTGGGTAACAGTAATTAACCAGTCACTGGTGTACTGGTGCTCAGTACCTAATTAACCAATCACTGGTGTACTGGTGCTGGGTATAATTAGTTTAACATTATTAAAAATTTGGCTATAGTTTGCCTAACTAAAATTTAATATTTTTGTGTATACGCTCTCACAAATTATCCAAAATACTAAAAACTGAAATATAAAAATGAAAAGGCAATTATATATACCTCATACCTCCAAAAAGAGAAAAAAAAAATCTAGCTGAAGTCAAAAACTTTTCTGAATACATTTAGCCGAGATTATTGAGCATATCGCCCGGGTTTGGAAGTTATGTAGAGAGTTGGATAAAATTGTGCTCAGTCTGGGAGGCTCCGTGGAGCCTACAGGGAGCCCCGGTAAACAATTATTTGATCACCAACGTCTTGCTTCCAGAAAACATCTGTTTACGGTTTTAAAGTGATATTATCCAGTATGTTAACTGACAGCAGAGAACCTGATGTGTTCTAGAGAAACTGAATTGTTTTGTGCCATCGCATGACCCTGTGCAGTGAGCCAAGCTGTGCAGTGAGCCAAGCTTGCATGAGCAAGCTGAGTGGCCAAGCTGTGCAGTGAGCCAAGCTGTGCAGTGACCAAGCTGTGCATGAGCCAAGCTTTCAGTGAGCCAGAGCGTGAAGCCAAGCTGTGCAGTGAGCCAAGCTGTGCAGTGAGCCAAGCTGTGCAGTGAGCCAAGCTGTGCAGTGAGCCAAGCTGTGCAGTGAACCAAGCTTGCATGACCAAGCTGTGCAGTGAGCCAAGCTGTGCATGAGCAACTAGTGAGGACCACAGCAGTGAGCCAGCTGCAGGACCAAGCTGCAGTGTCAAGCTGTGCAGTGAGCCAAGCTGTGCAGTGAGCCAAGCTGTGCAGTGAGCCAAGCTGTGCAGTGAACCAAGCTGTGCAGTGAGCCAAGCTATGCAGCGAGTCAAGCTATGCAGTGAGCCAAGCTATGCAGTGAGCCAAGCTATGCAGTGAGCCAAGCTATGCAGTGAGCCAAGCTTGCAGTGAGCCAAGCATGCGTGGCAGTATGCATGAGCCAAGATATGCAGCGAGTCAAGATATGCAGTGAGCCAAGATATGCAGTGAGCCAAGATATGCAGTGAGCCAAGGTGTGCAGTGAGCCAAGCTATGCAATGAGCCATGCTATGCAGTGACCCTTGCATTGCAGTGAGCCAAGCTCTGCAGTGACCCTTGCATTGCAGTGAGCCAAGCTATGCAGTGACCCTTGCATTGCAGTGAGCCAATCTGTGCAGTAACCTTGCTATGCAGTGAGCCAAGCTATGCAGTGAGCCAAGCTATGCAGTGAGCCAAGCTATGCAGTGAGCCAAGCTATGCAGTGAGCCAAGCTATGCAGTGAGCCAAGCTATGCAGTGAG